GGAGTTGGATGGCCCACTTCAAGTCTTCCCGCCAAAAAGTTTCAAGCGAAGCTTTTAATATTGAGGTTGAAATTGTGTCAGTGTGAGCAACACTGCACTCTAAGTAGAGTCTAGTGGATTCTGTGGCAGCTTCAAATTCTATCTTGTGCTTTGATCACGCACAACCTCGCAAGGGTTGCAGATTTTTTAAAAGGCTAGCTAGGTTCTTCGTGCCCTTCAAAAGCTCAAAGAGCGTATAATTTGACAAGTTTGACGAGTAACGGGGCTCACCTACCTTGTTTGCCACTTGATTGAGTCAGGATGGCAAACAACGTTGAGGAAGAGGATTATGGGGAAAGTGGGGAGGATCAGAAGCTCCCAGAGTTGAAGCTTGGAGGTGAGCTGGAAAAATGAAAATATTAACAATCTTTACATGTTTGTAGTTGCTTAGGCTAGCACCTAGGCTGGCGAAACAGATTTTGCAAGCACAGTCCATGGTCATGCAAATGCTGCATGTGTCATGTATTGTTCTTTGCTGGGCTTCAACCTCTGTCTTATCCAAGAGGGTGGCAGCAACATCATCTTCTATCTTTACAAAGTCATTAGGCAGGTGCAAGTGCTTTTCTGAAGTGTGCTTTGATTGCTTGTAGATGCACGCCAGGCCCAGAGCTTCATCAACTACTTCAGGGGACTTCCTGAGGTACTGGATCATACTGAACTCACATTCAGACTTTCCAAAATAGCATCAGTTGTTCTGTCCCTCAGCACTACTTTTTGCAACCTAGTAGGCGACAGGCCTATAGAGCTTCACCGCCTCCTTTAGGGAGCTTCCTGAGATGCTAAGTTTGCATTGGTGTGCCTTTGTAAGCAGTGGCACTACTTGATACTCAAGGAGTGGACCTTGCAAGTTGGTCAATATCACGATCATCTTCTCCAGCAAACACTTTGTGATCTTGCAATCGGGCTTCCAATGCTGTGGCGTTCGCGGCGACTTTGTCTACCACAATTTCAATGTTATCCTCAGGGCCCTAACTTTTGCCTTGACCTTTTTTACAGGATTCTCAGGTCATCCGCTTCTTTGACAGAAAAGTGAGTCCTCAGAACTGCTGCCAGAAAGCAATTGCTCATGCACCGAGTGCCGGAGATGTTGTGATCCTATATCCAACCTTGAGAACCTGATGCTTGTCATGGCATTCTCAACCCTCAAGTCATTAAGAGCGTTGTCCCCCCTGCTTCTAAAAAGACTGTCATCTCCTAATATCGCTTGTGTAAGGTCACTAGTTAGATCTTGTTGGTTACTACTTAGATCTTGTTTAGGACGCCTAACCCAGGAGTTGGGCACCAATTGGTTTCCCTAACCGCCCTTGCTTTACGGTGATTTCTTCCAATATTATTGTTTCAGGAGTTCTACTCCGTCCATGGGGACGATGCGGTTTTCATTGCCCGGAACTATCACAAGACCATGGCCGCAGTAAAGCAATTAGGGAACCCCCCAAACACACTCGCGGGATTGTCTCTGCATCGGAAGCTCTTTGAGACGGTCTTGAGGGACCTTCTGCTAGAGAGGGGGGATCACACGGTCGAGCTTTATGAGGGCAGCGGTTCAAACTGGCGCCTCACAAAAACTGCAACACCTGGAAAGCTTGGCAGGTAAGTTCTAGTATTTATAAAAGATGTGGCTAGCGTTCTGTTAGATTAACCTGCTTCTTTGTTGAAAGATACAGGGCCCCTCATTCACTGGTCTTATGAAGGGTACTTATTTGCGAGGATGGTCAAAAGAATGGTCCTTTTCCAACGTGACTTTATCAACCTGGCCATCTCTCTGCCTTCCCGAAAGCATTGCTGGGACTGGCTTTAGTGTATGTCCCACCTTAAAACCTTGAGTCTGATCCTGGAAAGTGTGGATAACGGGTGCAGGGGGGCTGGTTCGAAAATCTTGAAAGCGGATTGAATATGGGAGAGACATTTCACCTCGAAAATCACGAAGGAACAAACCAACAATGACGGAAGGGCAAAAATTAAAGCTCCAAAGATGGACAATCCAACTTTGCTGCGTCAAGTCTCTGATTACACTCTGCTTATTTGTGCCAGCTTTGAGGATGTCCTCTTCAACGCGTCCAACGACATGCAAGAGTCGCCCGTCGTGATGGCCATCTTCCCGTCCGCCAAGGAGAACGAGCGCCTGGTCGGGATGGCGTTTGTGGACATGACGAAGCGGTTGATTGGGGCAACGGAGTTTTTGGACGATGACCAGTACACGAATCTTGAGTCGGCCATGGTAGCGCTTGGGTGCAAAGAGTGCGTGCTTCCGCAGGTGAGGATGAGGTCTGGATCTCGCGTTTTGGGAGGCTGAACAACGACTGCTTGTTTTGGGCTCTGATAGCCTGCGTAGTGAGTTCAAGGTTCCTCTTCGCTTCTAGAGTGATGTGCGACGAAAGATACAGGAAATGGAGAGAGAAAATCTCTCTTGTATTGAAAGGCCAGGACCCGAGCAGTACCATCTGCGCAAGCAAATGGGTTCGAGAGCAATCCGGTTTCAAACCCCTGTACACCCGAATCCTCTAGAACGTGTACACTATGCAGGACGGCTACAGAGGTTTGGACTGTCCGGCTCCTAGTATTTTGGCTCAAAGTAACGTGCTTTGCATTTTCGACATGCTTCGAACGAGGTAGTGAGCGAGGGCTTTCCTTGCTAACAGCACCAAATCGGAACACCGTTGTTGCAGGACGGAGCCAAGACCCCGGATGGCCGAAAGCTGCGCGACGTAATGGCGCGCTGCGAGGTACTGACGACGGAGCGGAAGCGCGCCGAGTTCAAGGCGCGGGACGTGGAACAAGACATGGCGAGGCTTGTGAAGGGCTCAGCGGAGCAGCACCGGGGCCTGGGGGACACGGAGAATGCGGCGGCAGCGCTTGCAGCGGTGCTGGCGTACACCGTAAGTTGTTGGGCTGGGGGATTTTTGAAAGCACGATGCTCAGTCTGTATGTGTGGCGCCGAAACAAAGAAAAATCGTTTTTCATCTGTCCAAAGCTGGGCTTGTGGTAACTTGGACTGGATAGCTAGCCTCTGAGGATACCACGTTCGAGTCACGCTTTTCCTTTCACAGTCGCTCGATGCTGTGTCTTTCATTTGAAGGCTTCGTTTTCCGATCCCTTGCAGGAGCTCCTGGCCGACAGCACCAACTACGGCAAGTACCACCTGCAGCCGTACAGCCTCAATACGTATATGCGCCTGGACGCAGCGGCGCTCAAGGCGCTCAACGTACAAGAGAGCAAGTGAGAAACAGAGAGAGCGCCCTTCAGAGCAGCACCCGCTTCCGCATTGATCATTCGTGCCTACATGGCGAATGCTAGTTGCTTGATGCCCGTGAAAGACGTCCTCGTCCTGTAGTGTCGGAACGGCTCTGCCTAAGTCGACGGCTTTGCTTGAATCGAGGGCTTCGGTTCAGTCATCGATGTTCGGAGACAAGGGCAACCAGCACTCAAAACATGCCGACAATTTAGCGACAGTAAAGATTCAAGAGGAGAGAAAGAGGGTGGAAGTTAAAGCAACGAAAAAGGAGCCGATGCGGGTGAACGAAGTAGGGCAGGCAGAGTGGAAACAAGGCGGAAAGCGGATGAAAGGATGTCTGTGAACGATCAAAGAAGCAAGCAGAGAAATCAAAGGAGAAAGAAGGAAAAGGACAGACTTAATAGGGCCAGCGTCTGTTGTGCAGAACGGACGCGAACAAGACGTTCAGCCTGTTTGGTCTGATGAACCGGACGTGCACGGCGGGGATGGGCAAGCGCCTCCTCAACCGCTGGCTCAAGCAGCCGCTGCTTGACGTAGAGCAGGTGGGTCGCAAGACAGAAACTCGCAGACTAACTTTTCGTGGCTGTGCAATTAAAGCCGTCGAGCGAACACTGGGCGCTGGCTCCTAAGCAACCGCTCCTAACTGTCGAGCAGGTGAGCCTCCAGCTAGCAGTGGTTTGAACTGATTTGGATGCTTAATCACTTCTTATATGGAGGAAGATGCCAGGAGTCAAGCAGGTAGGTGCCGAGAAGGATCTCGCATTTCGAAGCCTTCTTGGTCAAATATGAGCCGTTCAAGAGAAAGTCGAATTGTCAGACGGAGATGAGACGAGCTCTTTCCGATGCACGTCAAGGAAGTTAGCGTCTGCGCAGGCTTGGATGATTTGCGTTGTCGACCGTGCAGAAAGTGTAAGAATTTCGTTCTGAAAGTCCACCGATAAGATGCCAGGACCGCCTTCGATGTTGCGTTTTATCTCGTGGTTGCTGAAGGAGAACTATGCGAAAGAAGCAAGAGCTCTCGCTCCGTCCTCGTTCTTGAGCTTTTTGCAGCATTATTATTGCGACCGATAAGTGTCCCTTGTCATTGTACCCGTCTACTGCTTTCTGGAGAGAACGCTCGGCAAAAGCAGGACTTTCGTTACATGAAGACCTAATGTTCGCCCTTCATTTCCGAGTGTCTGATTCGTTTGTTTGCTTCTTTGCACGCAGATCGGAAAGCGGCACGACGTGGTGGCCGCGTTCGTGGAGGACGCTTCCGTCCGGCAGGACCTCCGCTTCCAGCTCAAGCGGATTCCGGACATCGAGCGGCTCGCCCGGAAGCTGGAGACCAAGCGGGCCAGCCTCGCGGACATCGTCAAACTATACCAGGTCGGTATCGCGAATCTTTCTTTCCAGTTCTTCTCTTTCTCCGTCTCATTTTTCTGGCGATACATCGGCTCCTACGAAGAGAGGCTGCTGAGCTTTTGGATGATTGTCGACCGGGTGGAAAGTTTTGGGCAGGCGAATGGAAAGTAGACCAGCGTGTGTATCGTCGAAATGACTCCCTTCAAGAGCTCCAGCCTTGGTACTCAGGCGTTCGAAGCATTTGTTTGAACGCACCTACGACATACAGCGTCACGCTACCAAAGGAGTATACTGAATGTACTCTTTTCTTGGCCTTACAGGCCAGCGTGCGATTGCCGATCATAACCGGTGTCCTACAGCGATACGAGGGCGAGTTTGAGCCTCTTTTATCAGAAAGGTGAGGCTTCATGTCAGTTTTCTGTCGCCTGCCCCGAAGGGAACGGTGCCTCAGCTCTGTCAGGCTTGGTGAGACTCCGGCTCGAGTGCATCGACTCAAGCTGGCTGGTTCCTGATCAAACTTGGCCGCCATCTTCATTGAAACTTGCTGTTTCCGAATGGTCAGAGACAGCATTGTGTCTCCCATCATCGATGAATAAGCTGAAAGTCGCGCCCCCGTTTAAGCCACCAGATTCCTTTGCCCTCCTCTGCCTTTCACCTCAGAAGAGTTGGTGAACGTTTCTTTCATGTAATGAGTCCCCTATCCGCTCCTTGCTCGAGGCCGTTAATGAGTCCTTCCTCATGCCAGTAATTTAGAAACTTCGGAAACGCACCACTCTGGCGAGGTCCCTACAGCTGTAATGTCGAGCAGGCCCGACTTTGGGTCCCGCAAGCAGCTCGCATTTGCCCCATGTCGCTCCCTTCCCCTTCTCCGAACAACGCTCCCTGTTTCCACCCTTTCACTCGTCTCGGGCACCCTAACCTCGCATCCGAACTGTATCACGGCCTGTCCGCAATTTATCAGGTGCGAATTTTACAGAATTCAACAATCTACTGCACTCCCAGCCTTTGTTAGAAGTATCGAACACCTCGTCGAAAACATCTTGGGTGCGAGGTTAAGGGGCCCGAGCGTGCCCTCAACTCCCGACATTGCGCTGCTTCACAGGCCCAACTCTTTTGCCCTTGTCAAAGTCCTCCTGCTTCGAGAACTTCTGGTTACAACCTTACTATCTCTGTGAAGGCACAGTAGATGAGACCCATTGCATCTCGAACCGAAGATTGCTCGTGATCAAGAAGCGTGTATGTGTGCCCAAAATACAGCACAAATTAGATCACTGTCTCAAGTGTCAGCAACTTCGACCCCCTGGAAAGCACACTCCTTCCTCCCCCTTCCTTTCCGCAGCTATACGGACCCCCTGAAAAAGCACAGCACAGCGGAGCAGCTGGGCAAGTACGAGGGCCTGGTCGAGACAGCGGTCGACTTGGACCAGATCGAACACGGGGAGTATATCATCGCGCCAGGGTATGATCCCAGTTTGCAGAAGATCAAAGACGAGCGAGATAAGTGTGAGGCGCAGATCCGGGACGTGTATGCGGAGGCGGCGCGGTATCTGGGGCTCAAGGGGCAGGACGTGGAGAAGGTGCTCAAGTTGGACCGAAATCCGCAGGTGGGTTGGACGGAATCCGTCGCTGAGATCTGGCCATTTGTGCTTCTGTATCTTTCTGGTTCTGATTGTGGTTCCGCTTTTTTGAGTACGCAGAGTTTTGTTGTAGGATAATTTTCCCAGTACGAGTGGAAAGCGCAGCAAAGGTATACGTCGAGGACAAGAGCGAATTCGAGACGGAGACACTTAAAGCAAAAGCGCTAGCGGCACTTGTAAAGCCGCAGGTTCTCTTGAGGGGGAGAAGTGAGTGACGGCGAAGGCCATAGTCAAAATCATGAACGCTTATGCCTTCGCCCCTTCTGACGTGGGGCCTACTTTTGGGCCTGGCTGAGATAGAACAGCGCAAGCAGCGGAAGCCGAGCAGAAGCAAGTAAGCCATCCATTGAATTCTGAACTTTGGAACTGTCAAAACAGGAAGCCGGAACTTCGCACCTCAGCGCGAGTAAGTACTTCTGCTGACCAAGACGTAAAAGGCACTTGAAAAGACACAAGACACACTGAGGCCAGACCCATGCAACGCACCAAAGTCTGACCTTGTGTTTTCGCACGGCACCGGCACGGCTGACCTAGAAGGAGGAGCCCAAGTCCCACGAGAGGATCCTCCTAATCTCCATTCTACTCAGTGGTAACACTTCGACACTTCAGAATCTTGCAACCTGAGACCTCGAGACCTTAAAAGGCTTGATCCTAAATCGCAAAACCCTAACCTGCAACATTTAAAACCGCAGCACGGGCACGTGTTCCGGCTGACGAAGAAGGAGGAGCCCAAGTACCGCAAGAAGATCACGACGACGCCGTACCACATGGTGGAGACGCGCAAGGACGGCGTCAAGTTCTCGACCAGCAAGCTCAAGCGGCTGAGCGACACGTACGTCAAGCTGACGGAGGACTACAACACCACGCAAAAGGAGCTGGTCGGGACGGTGGTCAACATCGCGGCGTCGTTTGTGGAGGTAAGATTTTGGGTTTCGGTACGAGGGTTAAGGAGAGTCAAACATAAGACCACGCAGAAGGAGCTGGTCAGGACGGTCGTCAACATCGCGGCGTCGTTTGTGGAGGTAAGTTTTCTGGGTTCTGGTACGAGAGTTGTGAAGAGTCACCACGCAAAGGAGCTGGTCGGAACGGTGGTCAACATCGCGGCGTCGTTTGTGGAGTAAGTTTTCTGGGTCTTGGTACAAGGCTTAGTTTACAACACCACGCGGAAGGTGCTGGTCGGAAGCGTTGCTTGTGGAGGTGACATTTTGGGGTTTTGGTATGCGGTTATGGAGGGTAATAACAGCAACAAGGTAATGATGCTGGTCAAGACGGTCGTCAATATTGCGGCGTCATTTGTGGGGGCGCCTTTTTGAGGTTTCGCTTTGACTGTATCGGGGTTAGGTACTCTTGTCGGCGGCTTTGAACCGGACCGTCGGAATGGGTCGGACCTTCGCTCCGGCGAGGGCTTGTTTGCTTCGAAGGGGGAGTATATCACTCTTTTACATTCTGGAGCAATTTCTACCAGCTCCTCGCAACTTCTTTAAATCATGATAACCTTTGAGGGGCCCCCTCTTTATCGATCGAGAAGAGTTCCTCATTGTAGCTGGACTCTGCTTCAGACCTCGAAGTGCCCTCTTTGACAAACTCTGCAGACTCCTCGTCAGATGCAGTTGATAAAAACGGGAAAAACCGAACTGAAAATAAGCACATAAGCCACCGTGCCTCCCATTTTCTAGATCGTTGAGTCCGTAGCCGCCAACGTGGGCGCTGCTCGTGTCCGCAAAGCTTTCTGTTTTTCGCTTTCTTTCATTGATAAATGCCAAGAAAGATACACTCTGGCTTGAACAATATAGAAGGGGAGCTCAGACGAAAGAAAGCGACAAGCCCTGTGCTTCGTCTTTCCACTCTCAGATTTTCGAGTCGGTGGCCGTCATTGTGAGCGGATTAGATGTGCTGCTCAGCTTCGCGGATGTTGCGACTCCGAGTTTGCTACCAAGTCAAGAAAGACGACTAAAAATCTTAAACCCCGCAACCTTGATTGTGAAAAACATCACCGTCGTTTCTGCTCTTTTCCAGATCTTTGAGTCCGTAGCCGCAATTGTGAGCCAGCTGGACGTGTTGCTCAGCTTCGCGGACCTGTCCGTGAACGCGCCCCTGCCGTACGTGCGTCCGACCATGACGTCATGCGACGAGGGCGACATCGTGCTGCGCGGCAGCCGTCACCCCTGCGTCGAGGTCCAGGATGACGTCAGCTTCATCGCCAATGACTGCAAGCTGGTCAGTTTTAATTTCTTGCAGTTCCGTGAGACTTCCTCACTGAGCTTTGAAGACGGCGCGGGTGTGATGTTCAACTTCTCAAAAGTTCCGTGAGACCTTATCTAAACAAACGAACTGGAGAATCCACTTGTTCTACAGAAGTGGAAAGGGGATGACGTCAGCGTCGTTACGAACGATCGTCAGCTGGTGCACTTGCTCCTCCATTATGAAGCAAACTGTGTGTACCGATTGGTCTTCTATTTTCACTTGTTAATAGGGCCGACTCGTTGACCTTGTGCCAAGAAAGGTAACCCAAGTTTGAACTTGCGCACTTCGCTGAGAACTGTAATTCTCTGCTCCAGTTTCTGTGATTCTCTTTTCCAGTTCCTTGCTTGTCGAACCAAACTCGACTCTTACAGTGGCTACATGTAAGAGCAGCTCTACTGTGGCCGTGTGGAATGGTCAGACTGCACTTATGCATGAAAGCTTTTGCTGCAACTTGTCCACTTGGGGAATATGAGCTGTCCGTTGGAACATGACACGTCTTCTCCAATTGAGTCGAATCTGCATCTGGGATTCTTTTCCAATTTGACAAAGAGACATCACTATCTAAGAAACGCCAGCATTTTGACAAGGTGCGGGTCAAGAATCCAATCCTGCTTGAGTTGACCAAGTCCGTTCCGCGTTCGAAGCCTGCTTTTTGATGGGGACAATCGAGTTCAATCTTGCGACATCGAAACCCTCAATTCGATATCCAACATCTTAATTCCTAATCGCGATCATAAGTGCTAAAGCCTTTCTCTTAAACCTAACATTCTGAGACTCTGACCCAGGTGCGCGGCAAGAGCTGGTTCCAGCTGATCACCGGCCCCAACATGGGCGGCAAGTCGACCTTCATCCGGCAGGTCGGTGTGAACGTGCTCATGGCCCAGGTCGGCTGCTTCGTGCCCTGCGACTCCGCTGACATCAGCGTGCGCGACTGCATCTTCGCGCGCGTCGGGGCGGGCGACTGCCAGGTGAGCTGGAAGGAGCAGACGCAATGACTTTGAATGGTTTTGGGACTCGCTTTATTTCCGCATAGAAGGCGTCTCCATGTTGCTTTGTTTCTTGCATTGACCTTGAGGGTTTTTCTATTGACCCGAGCAACTTCGCGTTCTTTTCCGATTCTTGCATTGACCTTGAGGGTTTTTCTATTGACCCGAGCAACTTCGCGTTCTTTTCCGATCTGCCTTATCGTGCCGAGTGTCCAGAATATCGGGTCCCAGCTTGTCACAAACACTCAGCAGCGGTTACTTTGCAACAAAGTAGCATCCCACAAGTGTTACTTCTCTTAAGGCGGCCCCTTATTCAGATGCTTCGGAAGCAACCTCCGCACTGGTCTTCTTCAAGTTGCGCTCACATCACCTTCCGTCCTGCATATCCGCTTGTACCGTTGTGTCAAGGGGCCGCGTGTCGGAATTTGTACGAAAGTGTTAGAAACAACGTCAAAACTGCCTCTCATAACGATTCAAGGACCTCGTCAATGCCGCAACCCTTGGACGAAAATGGTTTGAAACCAGAGCCCAATTGGAATTGAAAAGGGCAGACGCTCAGCGGGCATGATGAGAGGGTGCGAAAACGATCCTTCTAGTCCTGTAAGCGCTGGTTCCTGACCGTCCGCTTCTTGTACTTCGTCAGCTGCGCGGCGTGTCGACGTTCATGGCGGAGATGCTGGAGACGAGCGCGATCCTGAAGGCGGCCACCCAGAACTCGCTCATCATCATCGACGAACTAGGGCGGGGGACGTCCACCTACGACGGCTTCGGTGAGCAGACAGCTGACGGCGTTGGCGGTCAACCTGTCGTTGCAAACCGGTCTACGATCAAAGACACTGACACAAACTGCTGACGTCAGCCATGTTGTTTTTTTGGTCTTTGTGCCCGTTGAGTATCGTCGGTATCTGCCAGTCCCCGATCAACCTTGCGCGCGTGCTCAGTATGCTCCTTACGCGCCGTTTCACGTTGACCCTCGCACTGTAATAAGAAAAACGCCCAAACTTCGGTTTGGGACCTTTTGCAACATTCACTTGCTGCACGCGGGCCAGCTGAGATTACTCGAGCGAAGTCACCCGCATCAATCAATCGGGATCCATATCTGAAGCCCTTACAAATTCATCACTCAAACGTGGTCCAAACGTGGTCCTAAACTTCAAACTTTCAAGGTACCTGAAGCAAAGTCAAGAGCTTTGCCCATCCGTTCTTGTGCGAACGTTAGTTCTACTCGCTGACCTCTTCTTCTGATTGCAGGTCTTGCCTGGGCCATCTGCGAGTACCTGACCGAAGTCACGCGCGCGCCGACTCTGTTCGCGACCCACTTCCACGAGCTGACCGCCCTCGCCAGCACCGCCGGGCAAGCCCCGGTGCACGGGCCCCCCAGGGGTCCCCCGGTCGGGGTGGCCAACTACCACGTCAGCGCGCACATCGACGAGGAGACGCGGAAACTCACGATGCTGTACAAGGTGAGGGCTGGTTCCTAGGCTGAGAAAAGGTGTCAAGGCCATGTGGAGTGTTGACCTGTCCTTTGGACATGATCAGAGGACCTTTTAGGATTTCTGCTCGTTACTAGTTGATCTAGTATCGGCGACCCAGTCTTCCGAGAAGGGGTTGACAGAGGAAGAAGACGTCCGCTAGGTGCGCATTTCGGAGCCTGTCTTCCTCAGGTCGAAATTTACGACGGTGAAATTGTCGGCCTGGAATTTGGACACCGTGCGATTGGATTGTTCCATGCAAAGCGACGCCCACTTCAAGAGGTCTTCCCGCGACTCGGACGTTCATCGTTGTCTCGTATTTCTGTAGCTCGTGTTTCGAAAGTCTTTGTTGCTGTTGACTATTTGCGCCGTCGGAGATAGCGGCTGACGTCTCGCAAACCGCGACGCCCACCTTGAATGCTGAGCACGGTTTGCTGTGTTACAGGTTGAGGAAGGCCCGTGCGACCAGAGCTTTGGTATTTACGTGGCCGAGTTTGCGCACTTTCCCGAGAACGTGGTGGCGCTCGCGCGGAAAAAGGCGGAGGAGCTCGAAGACTTCACACCTGCCGACCAGCAGGCAGACGGGGAGGTGAGTCGTGTGGTTTGAAAAGGCTCCTTTGCGCAACCTTCGTACTGCGTGGAGCCTACTAAAGGAATGCTCGATATTCTTCATCGAGTCTGAGAGGAAGAAAGCAACGGCTTTGAGACCCCAGGTCATGGCCTCGTGCGCGAACGGACGGATCGATGCGGTTGAGTCCACGTCAGTCCTGTGCGGACCAAAAGTGGATCCCGTTCAGTAAGCTTCGGACAGTGTGGTCAACCGAGAGCTGATACATCGCCAACAGTGTCGTTCTGCAAGGAACGGCATGCTTTTGTCAGCCGTGGTTGATTTGCCTTGTTCTTGCCGGCAGGTCGGCGCAAAACGGAAACGGGTGTCCGGGCCGGACGACACCGCACGGGGAGCCGCCCGCGTGCGCGCCTTTCTGCGGGACTTTGCCGCGTTGCCGATTGATCAGATGAGCCCCGACGAGGCAGTGAAAGCTGCGGAGGACCTAAAAAAGTCGTTAGAGCAGGACGCGGCAGCCAACCCTTGGCTTCAACAAATCTTGTAACTTGCAGATTGACCGCGAGCTTTCAAGACCTCCTTGTCGATCCCAGCCGTGGCGGGTTTCCTATACTGCTAGGATTCAGGCAAAGCAGATGCCCGTTGGTCACTCTGCGGATGATTCTCAACAGTACTGATTCAAGCATACTAGCTGTATACAAACGCAGTGTACGGAGATGCACTTGTTTCAATATGCTTCCATGACTCATCAATACGTACCGCGAGCATACGATTCTGAGCTAAGCCTGTGTCCAATCTGCCCAATCAAGCGGGACCACAATCATTGAAAAAAAAACTGTACAGTCGGCACCAGCGTTATTGCTTCGCATTGCGGCTCTTCGTGCTACGTCGAGCTAGAGGGTCAAGCTGATCATCTGAAGGCAACTGCAATGATGCAGTCCCGACTAAAGTTTACTGTTGCGGTGTGTGCACATTCAATCTGCGCGGCTTCTACGGCCTACATGGTAGCCCATATGCAACGTACGCAGCTCACATCAAAAAGCCTAATGTTTGCTGTCATGCATGATATAGTCCGAGAAGTACAATGGAGTTATGCCCATCGTCGACGAAAACAATCGGGAATGCAGGTTTTAGCATCGCATCTGTCTTTCTGGTGCAACTGTTGATGATTCTCAGACAAGTACGAGCCCGCTGCAACTAGCAACTTTCACTGACTCGGTTCTGGGCACGCGACAGCTGAAGGCACCTTGTAGAGCGTGCCGGGTCTGCTTGCATGCACGTTCCCTCGCGGGCCGCCAAGCAGAGCCGATCGCGCAATGGCAGCTGATGGTCGCGGCCGCCGGCCCGCATATGTGCAGATCCTGAGCCTTCATAAGCAGAGACTTCAGTCGCATTTAGAATACAGTATAGAATTCACATGAAGAGCCTGGTTGCCAAGACGTGGCACTTCGAGAAGGGGGAAATGCCATGGTTGCCCTAAAGGCAGGAGCTAAAGAGGCCCGACGTTTGAAATCTCGCTCTGTTTGACCTGATTATATAAACAGGACAATCAGACTGATCTCGTGCACGTATCAAGTAACTTTTTCAATATGATTGTTAGACACTGCACCACGGCCAAATCTGTACGAATCACTGCCTCTCCAAGCCGTTATTATTGAGCCATATGACCAACGACCAGTATAAACCACTCTCGAATCAAATTATCCAAAGCCCATGAAAATAGTCTTGCTCCTTCAACAAATGACCTAAGGACTGGGTCTCATTTGACTTGATCTTTCCGTTGTGCGTATCTTGGATCTCGTCAGTCTGAAAATCTTTTGCACCATATTTTTATTCACTTGATTATAAGCCAGGTTGCTATGTCAACGTTCCCCGCTTTAATCTGCTTCAAACTCACACCAAACAAGATTTACTCATCCTTGTTGAGCTTCTCCGGGATTGCTTTGAGCCCCTTGTCTATGACCTCCCTTAACCGTTCGATGCCCTCATCGAATCTCACTCCCGTCTCTTCAATCTTCGCATTGATCTCCTTCACCATTTCGGTCACTTCGTCCAAGTCTTGGTGAATCCGGTCAAACTGATCATCCATATGTGTCCGCTGCTTTTCGAATCCTGCGTCGAGTGCTCATCAAATCCTTTCTGGACTCCTTTCTGAATTGTCAGCGCGGAATATGAAAGTGACACAAAGACGGTTGCGAGTGCTCCAGCCGCTTCCAGGACGTTCTTAGCGGTCAGGCTTCCTGCAGTCCCTGAAAACATGGCTGCACTCTTAGGCTCCACCCTCTGCGAATAAGCTGGCAGGCGGATGAGATGGGGCGGAAAAAACGCTTTTATTCTTTCATTCTCTGTTCTGTGTTATTACATATTCAAGCATAGGCTGAGGCATGACATATATAATTCTCAAGAAAGATAATAGTAAGGCAAGATAATAGTAAGCTCCGACTAACACTAAAAACCCTAACCTTATATGAAACACCCGCTCCGCACCCGTACCCACCCTAACCACCATACTAACCCTACCCGTCACAGTGCGGTTACCTTACTATTATCTGGGCTTACTATTATTTTTCTTGAGTTTCATATGACATATTGCCAGAGCCTCTCGTACAGGCGGCTCGCCGCGGCCGCGTGCTTTCAATGCAAGGTTTTCCAGGGTTTAGCGCGGCCGCCCGTTCGAACTACGCGCACTCATGCGAAAATAAATGGTTCTAGATCGATTGGGTTAGGATCGAAACCCCTGACCGCCACGGCAGCCCTCTATCGTCTCTTCGCGTCAAGAGGCTCACGGAGTCACGCGTTTGCTGCCGGTTGTCATGAACGTTCTTTTGAAGAATCCTGGTCAAACAAACTCTATCCGTAACCGCGTCGCTTTTGTAGCACTTGCTTCGAAAAGTTGGGACATTGAAACTTCCACTGTCATGTGGAAGGCAGTGGAAGCCAGGAAGGTGGAACTTCAAGCCCAGAATCAGTGGCGGCTGCGTGAATTGAGTTCCACCTCCTGTGAGCGCATTAGGCATAGCCATTGGAACTTGGAAGACTCTGTGCTGCTCACTCTGGCTCCGTCCTGCACAAAGCTGTATCTTCACCAGGATCTGTGCAAGCGTTTTCGCCTACACTAGTCGGAAGCGATCGTGAGCAGAGAACGAAGATCATCTGTGATGATGATCTATTCTCATGACACAACATTGTAGTTGCATAGTCACTTGCGTCCCAGCTCCTCTTCAATATTGCAACTCTTCATTCTGGTCATGTTTGCTCCTCCATTTCACTTTCACTGGCGCCTCGTCTACGTCGTCCTCAGTGCATTCGTCATATGCGCAAGCACAGCTCATGAGTGCTTCTCAGAGGAGCTTCTGGTGCGGCCCCTGCCAGGCGGAAAGGTGCTTATTCACTTCCACTTTGTGAGTCAGCTGGGAAGTGGTGCAAATCGCCACCACAAGCTCTTCTCAAAGGCGGTGGATCAATTGGTGAGGTGGAGAATGAAATTGAAGAAGCTGCAGTTGTCGTTGCTTATCTTCATATAGAGCAATTTGTCTTCTATACAGCTAAGGATGCTTGCTCAGTATCGAATCAGCAGGGATGTCATTGACCAACCGCAGCAGAGAAGATCTTGAGACATTAGTACTTTCAGTCTGGCCTTCCCCCAATGTTGCACAATGCAAGGAGCGGTAGGGCAACTTCAAACAGATAAGACGACTCGCTGAATCCAAGTCTGTCTATGCTTGTCAGGAATGATCAACCTGCACATTTATAAGAGGTTGTCTGCACATCCCAAATTGTCGCAGACACTAAGTGCCTTCTCTCCTCAGAGAAGACGAAAGTAATCTTTTCTGTGCGCCCCGTAACAGACATTGACAAGCACTGCGTGTCTGTCTATATCTTTGCATTGGTGACACACTCTGCATTTTACTATCTATCGCATGAGCTGCGTCAAGAAATCAGTATACGGTGCATGTAGGTCCTTGATCTTGCGCACAAAAGTTTGAATTTGCTTTCCCGCTTTGACCAGCTTAGTGATAGTCGCCTGATTCCCATTGCAGGTTCGAAAGTTCTCCCTTCAGGAGCTAGAGCTTAGCTTCACCCAGGGTCGGTGGGACTATACAAGATGGGGGGCTGCAGAGGGGATTGCCCCCCTCGCTGCCAAACCCCCTGGAGTAGAGCTGTGGTCGCGGTTGAGCGCTGAGTCTGAAGCGGAGGTGTGTATTCTGCTGAGAGAAGCTGACTAGTTTCATAGAAGGTCGTTTTTTTCAGTTGCTTGGAATGAATCAGGACGGTGTACTGTGATCGTCTACATGCATTCAACGCAACTCATTGATAAGTGAAGTCGAATAAATGGTCAAAGAATTGAGCAGTCAGCAAACAGACGGCACTTGGCAGCGATCAGCCAAGTAAATAAAGACTGTCTTTATTCTGAGTTTGTTCAAAACGCAGCTTTTATCTCCAACGTAAGCACTTGCTACCATCTCTGTCAAAGCATACTTTTCCATCTTTGGCAGGCAGTCTAACCCGTTTCCACATCCTTCCTTAGGCCGATGCCACCTGGCGGAATCTGACGCACGCCCTGTCCGGCATTTTCTGCGCGTCTGTCAAGGCGCTCGCCGACCCCGCCACAAAAGTTGTTCCCATTTTATCCTTCCAAAAAAAAGGCGCAGACTGGCGAACCCATTTGCTCGCCGCAGCAACGAGAGCTCCCTCTGAAGGAGAGAAAGGCGATGCTGAGAACGAGTGTGGGGGGACGGCTGCTGGAAGAACCTTGGAAACCTGTTCGCTTGGGGCGGGGAACAAAGAGGGCATCCGGTTGGGGCACACGAGATACGGAGCGCTTCCTCGCGAGGCAGTCTGCACCGAGAATTTGACGCCCTGGCTGAAGCTTCTGCCGTGCCGAGATAAAGCGGGGCTGGCGACGCTTCTGGAGCGCCGCAGAGTGTACGGGGGCAGCTACCACGCGCTCCAAGTGCACATATGGGCGGGGGGCGCACCGGCTGCTGACGTCAGGACGGCGTCAGCGTCCGGAAGCTGTCTGGAACCCGCGACCGGAGCGGGCCGAGAGTGGAGCGGCGACAGAGGATGTGAAGGAGCTTCGTCGGGTGACGTCGGCGGAAGGGGGGATGATGTCAGCGCCAGAGCTCGCGGAGGAATTGTGCTGGAGCAGACGCTGACGCTCGTGCTGGACGTTGGAGAGGGGGTGGGCATCCCAAACGAGAACCCTGCTGGGGGTGTGGGGCATATGGCGAGCAAGCAGGCGGTTTCTCTGGCTGACGTGTTTGGGAGGGAGTTGACTGGGAGCTGTCCCTTGGCTGACGTCAGCCGGATCTACACAGAAGGCCGGCGAGTCGACTACTTTGGAGAGGGGTTTAGCGGAGCGTCGGTGAACCCGCAGCCAAAGTGGGTTTGGTCGGCGGAGGGCAGGTCGAAAACCCTGCTTGAATACGACTTGAAACGGGCCACTCTGGGGCAGCCCTTGAACGTTTCGCTTCCCTACGACGGGGCAAATCAACCAGCGGCCGAACGAGCGCCGTTCGAGGTATCACGGTTTGTGACGGGGCACGGACTGGAACGGGGGGGCATTCGCTTAGAGTTGACCAGGCTTGCGGGGGGGGAGGGAAAAACGGTGGTCCGTTATTTCCAGCTTTTACCGTGGTTCATCCGGGTTTACTTCCATACGCTAAGGCTGGAGATGGATGGACGCCACGTGGCGCTCTCTGATTGGACGGAGAGGGCGAGCCTGGTGCCGGCAAAGGATCGGGAGCGGCAGGCAGTGATGGAACTGGAGCTGCGAATACCTGCTGACGTGAAACGGGTGGTGCTGTCGATGGAGTTCGACAAGGTGAGATGCCTTATCATCTTCACTTTACCCAGCTCGTCCACGTGTTCGGATCCCGGTCCGTTTTCTCTGTAGTTCAAAGTCAAGTGGTCAAAGCTTCTGCGTTTCGTTTTCTAGTCGAGTTGTCTGCAGGTATAACAGTCGGTTTTGCACGAAAGACATGTCTCATCTTAAGGAGATGCACTTCATGCTTTTTATTTTCTGGTTGCGTTTCGAAAGTAAGATGATGGCAATCGTAAGTAAGATGATGGCGATCGGATCGTCGCTGAACTGTTGAAGCGGACTCAGCATTACTGCCTTTCTGATTGTTTGCTGACATTTTGCTCAGGTTAGCCTCAAAAGCTATTGCCTGCTTCTAAACAGGCTGTGCTGGGGCTCTCCCTTTACATTCGTGGCGCTGGGTCCTTTCCCGTTTCCAAGAACTGCTCATGACGGGATTCTGGATCGACCAGGTTCGAAATCTCTCGGCGACATGGTTAGATCTTATGGTGCAGTCCTCAAACATTTAGGATAACTCGCTGGGCCAGTCATTCATCGCTCCGTTTTCAGATTCGGGGTAGAATGCGAAAGAAGACGGTGTGCTTTCAGGAGTTTACCACAGAGCTTCTGGTTGGAGGTGCCAACCCAACAAACCCAATAAACCCAGTAACTTAACCGGTAAGGCCCAAACTCTGAAATTCTCTGGATGCAGGGCTACCTGCGGATCGAGGAGCATCCCCCAGATGGCGACCGGGGATTTGACCTCCCGTCCGCCATTGTCACGTTTCCGTCCGTTTCTGGGGGGGTGGCCTATCGGATGTCTGACGGCGATTCGACCGGTGGGGATTCTCGGGGGCTGGAGGGCCGGCCGCTGCTAGCCAGAATGCAGGCGAGTGATCCCCTATGCTGCCCAATTTGTGCTCCAGGCCGAAAAGCTGCTCCGCTTTTCCTTCCGTCCATTCCGTTTTGGAATTTCGCTTCCGGCGCGTGGGGGCCGTGCGAATCCCATTCGTGGACTCTTTTCCGCTCCAATTTTGGATTTCCACCGGATGCGGAACCTCCCGTATGGTTTCGGAAGTTCATTCCCTTTCCGTCCGATTGTCCGCCGGGCGGATTCCGTTCGATTGTACCGGCGGACCTCCCCATGCCTGGGCGGCTTGCCAAACGAGCTTGTGTGCTACCGTTTACTATGGCCCGTACGTGGAGCTCCCCGCTCACGGTCCGCCCCACACGCTCATTCCGTTTCCATTTCCTTTGTGCGCAGGCGGACCTCCCTGTTCGCGTGTACACGAGCGGCCTGCTCATCCCGCTCGCGACTCCCGACTTCAGTATGCCGTACAATGTCGTCACGCTGACGTCAACCGTGATCGCCATGATTTTCAGCAGCCTGTTCAATACGCTGCTCCAGAGGGAAGCCGGGAAGCCCGCCGGTAACGCCGCCCCTGGTGAGCCCGCCAAGCATTACGCATCTCAACATCCTGGATTGCCTTGCAACAACTCACCGTTCAGTTCCGTACATGAAGGGTTTCGGACGTCCAAGGGTTGGTTGAGTGAAAGGCGTCCGAGCACATTATTGCAAGGCCCGGGAGGAACCATATATGACATTGGGACATCCACCGTTGTGTGGATGTACCAAACTGGATTTTCGTCGGAAGAGGACCGCATGGTTTTTTGGGACTTTATCATGTTCTTAACAGCGTCAGCAATGTGTCCGTTGAACTCAAATTGATTCAGTATTGGCACTAACTGACAGAACGCTCGGCGAGAGACCCGTCAACTATGGTGCGAAGATTGTCCTTTTTCGTCAACATTGTGAGCAGGTTGTGATCCGCTGGCCATCCCTCCTTCTTTGAAGCTGCTGATGTTGTGAGACCAGTAATGTGCCAGCCACTGATGTTTGCTTTGCTGCGATTAATTTACAGATGATCCAATGGGCAGGGATCCGATCGGTGAAAAGCAGCGCACCAGATCTTTGCCCATAGCCACGTTGTGGAAAACATTCGCCAGGTTGTGGAACATGTGGGTCGACCTTACAGTCAACTCGTGAACAATAGCAAGTTCCAAAGAACACTGCTCTTCTGTGGAGGTCGATTCAAAGAGGAACTTCACTCACGATTCACAGTTGGAACCAAGCAATGCATACATCATTGCATTATTCGTTTCTTGATATTCGTGCATCATGCATGAGAGGAATATCATAATGGTGCCACAGAAAGTGATAGCTGCCATTGACTCGTACCGTCCTCGCGTTCCAACCAATGGACATTATTTGGACATTATTTGCCAGCAAACCAACTAGGTTTGTACTAGCTAATAACTAGGACAAAGGGCCTGGCGCGCGGGCCCCACATATATGGGCTGTGGCCCACTACTATAGCTGCGGCGCGCACGATCTTGAGCTACATAGTAAGTATAACGTTACCTGAATCAACAACGCAAACACATCCAGGCGGCCGAGCTGTTCCATAGGGCCGTAGTTACCATAGTATATATTGTTAGTTTAAGTTCAAGGCCGGCACGGCAGCGGCCCGACCATAGCTATAGGTGAGCTGTCGAATGTTGCAAGCGTTTTTGTTAAGCCCGTGTGCGAAACATTTATCACGAAATTAGTGGCCACAAACTTCCCATGAGCACGCCGCGTACGACGGTGCAGTTTGGAACTCAAGAGTCTCGGAGCCATTTGGGGGCTGCCGCTGTATGTTTCCGTCGTCTAGCTCCGCCGTTTCTTTGAACGTTTAGTTCAAAATTGCATATGATAGGCAGCTTGCACATTTTCGTGGTGCAGTCTAGATCTGCATGAGTAGCACATGCGAGCCATGCAAGGCCCTCGACAAAGCGGAAGGTCTCATTTTGGAGAAGTGTTTAACCCGAGCTACGAAAATCGAGTTCGGTCGCAACTGGTGCAGATTAGAGTCAAGTGAGAAGATTAAACAAAAGCAGCCCTGCCTATCGCTGATCAAAATGCTATGCTGGCCTCAGCTACACCATACCACCATTACCTTGAGTCGAAATAGAGGATCTTAGACTCACGACTCTTCCGGCCTTCAGGATCTACTGAACCCGACTGTGATGTCTGACCTCGGACACCCCATATGCCTACAGAAACCTTGTTTTGCAAAAGAAGACGTTCTGGCCCTGCGACAGTCCCCTCGCCAATACTTACTTCTCAATGTTCGTCACCATGCTTATATTACTTTTGCTAGCTTGCCGGGCAGCAGCAGTCAGAATACACTACCCTATCGAGCCACAACGACATGTGCCGTTCCCTTGCCGCAGCGCATCCCTACACCCTCTACTCTTGATCTTGACCAATAAATACCGATTCAGGCCCGTGTGCCCAAAGAGCGCAGGGCAGGGCTTATCGTCTTTGACATGTGCGAAACATTAACAACCTGGGCGCAAGTTTGCACCCCCACCCCCTACTCCCGCTTTGCAGTCATGTACCACGTCAGGTTGCGCTCCCGCCCAGGCCAGCTGGGCAGCACGCGCCCGAACATGCCACCGGTGACATCATCCACGGTCGTCACCCGCCATCCGTGAGCGTTGAAGAAGGTCTCCGGGTCGTTGGAACCCCAAGTCCAAGAGCGGAGCACGGGGGAAGGGGACGACTTGGCGCGGTCGACTGCCGACGCGCTGATCCCGTCGATTAGGAGGACGCTACCAGGGGCAGAAAACTGCGCGGGTCGTTGACATGAGATGATTTCAAACTCGTCAACAATTCGGGGGTAGCAACATCTTGCCTGAGTTCTAGGGGTCTGGTTGGAGGAACCTTTTCCATCAGAAATGCATATCAATCAAGCTCTTTGCGATGGACGGCTTCCATTAACCAAGCGAGTAACAAGAGCAAACGGGTTTGGACAGATGTAGGAGAGAACACACCCTTAGCAGAAGGGATATGGTTGAAGAAAAGTAAAAAAGACGCTGCGGTGTCTGGCTTCGAGCTTCCTAATAGAGTGACTTGTGCGAAGGACCCTTGAAGTAGGCAACTTGCAGCTATTCTTGAGCCAGTGCTTAGCCATCCGCTGCAATCCTGCTCTGAATATCCCAATGTGGAAAGTTCTGCTGGAAGTTGAGGTAATTTACAACGTCGACTGCAACAAGTAGAGTGTCCATTGTGAGCGATGGAAGTCAGCGTCGCCGAACCGCACATCCTCAGATTGCAACGAGCCACTTCCACCTCGATAATTGTAGTCCACTTTCACTTGGGACACGTTTCACAGAGCCATGAGCAACGTTGACTGCAATAACTGGAGTGTTCACTGCCGATAGGGACACTTCTACATCCAAAACGCCTACATTAATCGAGTGTCCACTGGCACATTGGAACATTCAACAGGAAAATGGACGTACCTCCGCCACTGTTTCCACGAGGGAAGTGACCCCTGCCGGCGTGAGGTACATGATGAGCCCCTCGAAGAGCCACACGGTTGGCTCGGACTTCCGAAACCCCTTCTGGAGGATCAGCTCCTTCCACGTGTCCGTATTGAAGTCAACCTGCCCGCAACACAGTTCCATCTTTGAAACGCTGAGGGAGAAACAGCTGTGGTAGACATTGAACGACTCATGAATTGTCCGACTGAATGTAGCACAAGCGGCACCATCAGGAACGCCATTTGCCTGCGAAAACTGCTGAGAGGATTTCCTAACGAGCTTGACCCTTCTTGTGATGCGCAAGCTTTTTTGTTCCCCGCCTCAGCTTAGAAAGTGTTAAACAAGTGTGGAACTAGATGGGTTGTATCTTGGTAGAAACAGCAATGTTGCTTGTGACCTATCAGTCTCTTTGCACAAACCCTTTCTCATCTGTCAAAGTACTAAAGAGAGGCATCGGGAAGAACGAACATCACAACCGAACACACAAGGTCATCAAAAGTGAGACCAAAGGAGGTGCACATATTTGAAGTGCGGCCTCCCTCCCCTGACCGTGAGTAGATAGAGCAGTTCCTCACACAAACCCTGTCTGTTTGGAGCGTTGCTTACCGCCAGAACAACCCTCTGCTTTGCTAGCGTAAGAGGCGGTAGCCCCCCCGCCTCCTCACGGATACTTAAGAGCTGCTCCTTCAGGCCCATGACGTCCGGTCGATCGCCCTAAAAAGTTCAAAATAGCATCAGGACGTGTAAAAAACGCAGCAGCTAATATCAGGAATGATGCACGACTAGAGAGTGACGAAAGTAAATGTGTTCAGAAAGTTTACATTTATCATGCGGAAACAGTTGCCAAGAAGGTTGGCTGACATTGAGATCACAATGGGGAAGACAGAAGTTTGGGAGGACACAGGATCGAGCCAATGAAGTATTTGCTTCTGCTGAGCTTTTGAACAAAGCCATGTTGCTCAAAGAATGATCAAGGGTAAGAAGTGCTGCAGTGCATGTAAAGCTCCAGTGGGTTTGTTCACAATTTCAAGTGGGCTGACCTCAAAAACTTTATCCGCTGGAGGCACTGTTTCCAATGTTGCTGGAAGACGCCAGCTCCGCGCGTCCATTCCGCACCCAAACAGCACAACCTGCAGGCACCCAAAACAGCGTCAGAGATTTGATGGATAAGTGCAAGAGTTCACATGGACTAGGATCATTGGAAGCTCACCTAAAGCTGCTCCATAGCTCATGATTCGATTAACTGCTTTCTTGATCCCTTACATGTCCTTATCCTGTTATTAAGGAACCACACAAAGCAAGGCTAATCTAAATGTGCTTTAGAAACGGGGATCGTGATTCTGCCTGCATAAGAAGTTCACAGAAACACGCGATCACACAAGCACAACCATCATGCCAAGCCGCCTTACTTGTACTTTGGCTTGCGAATTCTGCGCCTTCATCTCCTCGATCGCAGACATCATGGCAAGGTCAAAGTACTTTGTCCTGACAGCGAACCGCGCCCCGGGGTAGTCCTTGTTAGCCACCTCCGCCTTCTGCCTGCTGACGACACGATCGCCTGCCAGGTATGCCGCGAGCGGATCCTGAAACAGCGCATCGGGGCGCTCGCTCTCAATGGCCCGGTACGCTGCGAAGCTTACAGCCGTGTAGGACACCTGCGAGAGTCAGAGGCTGTCAAGAAGTTGCACAGGCGAAACAGAAGAAGCATTGGCATTTCCCGGTCGAGGTTGACGCATGTCTGGCAACCTGAAGAGCTTCGAAACCTCCCATGATGCAGGCTTTCTTCCTCCACCAGCTTTGGTGAAATTCTTGATTTGCTTCTTCCCCAAGAACGTGCGGCCTTTTTTCGAATCAAGGCATAGCACGCAGTACTAATTGCAAACCTGGAGATTAGGATGCGAAGTAAAGGTGCCACTTTAGTTAGGGCGAAAGAAATAGAGACAAAGTTGTATTTTGCAAGATGGAATCTAGAGAGGGCCTGGGGGAAAGGACAAGTCGCATCCAGACCTCTGGCATCTGCAAGGTGCATTGAGCAGCAAGATGTGACAGGCAAGACAAGACAGGAGCTCGCATCTGAATGCCACTCTGCAGCTTGATTTAAAAGCTAGGTGGTATCTCGCCTCACCACATCTTGCAGGCCATTCAAGCCCTCTTTGCTGTTCTCTTCAAAGCCAAGCGCCGAATTATCCACACGGGGATGCCATCCTTTTGCCCAGAATGACTTTGCAGGCTCAGGCTCATTGCAGCCGCAGACATCATTGCTTTCCTCCTCAAGCTCTCTATAGTAGAAATCTTCTTGCTCTGATCCTGAAGCGGCTTGCCTTCCCGGATGATCATTTGGTAGAGGCTTTTGTGCATCGGTTGCAGCTTGTCTCGCCAGACGAGCCTGCTCGCGTTTCATGTAAAAGAGACAGTCTGGACTATGAAACCTCGCCGCAGAGCTGCTTGCATGCCGCCCGTCTTGCTTGGCAATCTCTTGATTGACCCGCTGTTTCTTCGTGGGGTTGGTCAATGGGGTTGTTGTTTCAATTCCAAGGATCGAGCTGCCAACTGCACACTCTTCTGCCGGACCCCTCGTTCTATGCATGCTAGGCCATGAGAAGAACTTCCTGTCCAGCTCAAGGTTGCTGGCCTGCACAAGCTGAGCCTGCTGCATACCACCTGTACTTGCTCTGAGAGGCCTTGCTGAAGATCCACTGAAGCACCTCTGCATCCCAAACCTCACTTGAACTTCACGCTTCTTGACATCGTCCAGCCTGCACCGAATAGGTCCAGTTGGCTCTGTTCATATCCTAATAACACTGTTCTCGGCAGCATTTGGATGTTTCCGCTGGACGGCCTTCTCTAGTGTAAACCATGCCAGCCTTGGGGAGTTGAGGAGGAAAGGAGTTCTTGCATGTATTAGCAATTTGCAGTGAAGACAGTCTGATGCACAAATATACAAATCCTTCGCTGACTGCAAGGGATATGACGAGCTGCCATAAACCTGCAAGGTGGAAAAACTTGTTGATGCAAAAGAAGCTTCTGTCGAGCCAGGGCTTTCAAGGATACGCATACAACATGGGTTCAAACTTTTGCCAGAGAGAGGACTCACCTTCTTTGAAACCAATATGCAGAAGTAGCATGCTAACAAGACTGCTACAATTTGAAACTCTCCAATGCAGCTGTAACAAACTGCTCAATTGCCTCGCTCTATGCCTTTGCCTTCAAATGTATTCCTCCCGGCAAAGAAATGCAGTGGCTCAAGAACAATGTGCACTCTAGGTTCAAGGTTAAGCAGGCACTTCTCGCTCACATTGCGATATTATTGAACGATATAATCTGGCACAACATCTAGCTCTGAACATTCTTTGGAAGGAGCTCCACAAGCGTGCACCAGACCTCCCGCCAAAGCGTGCGTAAAAACCCTCTAGCTGGCTTCCAACAGCGGCGTGCCTTTCTCTATCAATAGCGGGTGCAGCCTTTCAGAAAAGCAGGGGCCCCATCAGCAAGGAAGCTTTCGCGTCCTCACCATCCCTAAAAGCTGACTGATATCCGTCTAGACCTTGCTCCTGGTCGGAAGCCATACCTAAAGTAACACTTATGTACCCAGGTACCTTTCCATGTAGACCTTCCTGAAGGCCCCAGGGTGGAATCTGGGCCGCAGGTAGGTAGGTACAGCCAGCTACCAATGCCATACCTGGTATTATACCAGAGCGAGCAGGTACCTACCTGATGTTAGGCTGCGCAGCTGCTAGAGCTCTAGAGAAGGTGATAAGAAAGCAGATCTAGACTGGTCGAGAGGGTCACAGTTGGCCAATGGCAAATGGGAACAGGGAAGTTGGAGCGAAAAGCCCTACCTACCACCGCCAGGCTACCGGTCGTCTCTGTCGACTTCGCAAACGGTGCCATCTGGTACGAATGTTACGCGAATCATCATTGAATGATGCCACCTATGACGAAGCTTGCGTCTAGAAGCCAATCGCACGCGGCCGTCTGGACACAAGGCGACGGAAAGTGAGCGGACCTGAATTTTGGCCTGAATTTTGGGAATATTTCCATTCAGCAAGTTGGGACCTTTGCAATCATTGTGCATAGCTCACATGGCCAGCGAGCAGATGCGCGGACGTCATGAACCCCAACTGAGCCAAGTTGGCACGCGGATTGTATAACCCAGGTGTTTGAATGCTATACTACCGGGCTATTAAACATGCTATTAACTGAAGCCCTTAACCATCCATAACCATCCATAACCATCAATCCGGTCCCCTAAAAATCACCTTAGACCAACTATACTACCTTCAGGCAGTTAGTAAAACTGTGGTATATTTCAAACACGATTTTGTCGGGTACCTCTCAATAGTTGGTTAAGAGTTCGAACAAGTGTCAAATGCAAGGAGTCTTAAACCATCTTCGTGTCTTGCGTCAGCGAATCATACCAATCCATCAAAGTGCGCGTAGGTATAGTATCTGGCCGGTTGTTCTACTACCGGTAGGTAGTAGCCTAGTTCGGACAACCGTTGGTGACTCCGAGTCGGACTCACTCCAGACTCCAAACTCGGAGTCCAGAGGCTCTCCCGCGCCATTTCATGGTCTCGAGTCTCGACTCAGACTCTCGAGTCTCAAGTTTCAACTGTATCGTGACAGTGCAGTGCACACTGCAGTGTGCACACCGGTGACCAGCACATTACGGTAGGTACATACCGGTAGGTACTACCGTACGGTACAAACTGCACAGTGCAGGCTGCACACTGAGCAGTGAGCACTGAGCAGTGAGATCTATCGTCTGACAGGCCCGCCCGGCGCCCATGATGGCCCCATCATAGGAGTGCCGCGTCTTACGATCTCCCACCTACTTGAAGAAACCCCATCGCACGGTTCCATTTTTCTTTCCGGGATCTGCGCCGAAGCCGGGGCCCTGCAATCATGCCGACACATAGCCACAAATTAGATCGCGTATCTTCCTTTGCAGATCATGACGTAAGGAAGGCATCGTCGGAGCTGTACGGCTACGAATTGCGAGGCACATTTCAAAAGTCAACTATAGCATGTCCATATAATATCTTCGATTGATTTGCCGCACCCGGCAAATCGATTTCGGACAAGGCGGTACGTACCAAAGGAGACTCGAGAGTCTGCAACAGGCGAATTGGTTCTCGGGGAACCGACTCCCGGGCGGCCAGGCGGGCAAGCGCGATAGACACTTTTTGGACCGGTAGTCTCGACTCTCTACTAGGTAGTACTCCCTGTACGATTCGGGCCAAGTTCCTGAATCGCCCATCGCCCGGTAGGAAGTGCTCCGAAGTGGGCTCGTGTACTTTCTATTCCGACCGCTGTGTCTCGTGACCCCGTCATCATGCACGTTGTGATTACACGTTGATTGGGTACCGTCACCTCCGGTACCAACCTTGGTCGGAGGTCCACATGAAAGGCAAGTCTAAAGCTGAGTCTAGAATCCAGACTCCAGACTCCAGGCAAGGTACCGAACCGGTACCACTGACGCGCATCGAGATGCGGCAGGCGCCCTTCAAGATGCATGGGCTTGCAGGGATTTTGGCGGTACCGGTACTACGGTCTACCTACATCATACATGCGGTAGGTAGGCAGTCTGTAGAATTTATCTAAGGTAGGTGTGGACCGGGTACAGCACAGGTACCAACACAATGCAGGTTCATTGTCTACACTACCAGTACGTTGGGTCAGCCAAACAGGTTTCTTCAACTTTCAAGTGTCAAACCAGAAAAAGTCGGATTGCGTGCGCTGCCTTGAATCATGTCGACACCACCGGTTACAGCCAATGCAGGAATCTGAGATGCGCTGCCAGCTGGCCGTCACGTCGTACGGTTATCGTGACCGTACACATCGATGCCGCGGCCCGCGACCCGCCGCCCGCGCATTGCACGCTTCCATCATCCATGCATATGCTGCCCACTGGCAGGGTATGCAGAAGTCAAGTCATACACAAAGTTGAAAAGTTTACCGTTATCTTGACTTCTATTGCATGTTTCGATAATCCCCTGCTTCCTGCATTGCCGAAGTACAGAAGGACAACGTGGACAACGCTAGCGTGGCTTAGTACGGTCGTAGATATGCCAATATGAGATAGAGCAGCTTGGCGATGTCGATGGCCGTCAATGAATGAGAGCGAATAGTCGCGCGAGAGCGGAGTTTCAAGGGGGATTTCAAGCTCGATATCGTCGAGCTCGAAAGGGTATTACTCGCTTATCGCTTACTTCGTACATCGCACCAAGATCGGCGCACCGCCGTCGGACATGCCAAGAGTCTCCTGATGCAGTACCCCTTCACGGCGGAGTAGCGCCATCTCCAATATCTCCCTGCCACTTCGAAACATTCTTTTACCGGGCTCCCAGCAAATGGCTGAGCGAAAAACCCGGACGTGCGTTAAGGTCAGGTTATGTTTGCTTTGGCTCTCATCCACCCCTGCTAGTCCAGCCTGCACTAACCCATGCCGGGCAGTAAGAAAAGGCGTGAATGAGGCTTATTTACAGGTATCAGCTGTACTTTTGAACCCTGCGTTCCTGCCGTGCTGTATCGGTAGATCTTCAGGATGCGTACTTACCCGAAAATTCAATGCTCACGAGCTCACGCAGCGGAGGCAATCATATTGGGAACGTCGGAGTGGTGCAATGCCGCGAGTGCAATGCCGCGAGTACTCCGGTCGTACGCCTCTTACTTACTAATTACGACCGATCTGCAATGCAACTCTGTTAGGGTTGAAATGGCCCGTCTCTGCTGTCTTGTGCGTCAGTAGACTGCTGGCTACGCTAATGATGAAAAAGTAGAACTGAAACACGTAGAGGCTCGGTCGCTTCTTTTAAAATCAAGCAAGCTCGTTCTTGTTAAAGTAGTTAGGGAGCTGGGTCACGGTTCTTCTTCGTACTTTTGTTGGGCTCTAAGGGTATTCAAGCACCGGTTGGGCGAGGAAAGTCTCATTTCCAGGTCCCACCAAGGTACACCTAAGCGAAGCCTAGACTTTCAGCGTTATTGTCGTAGGTATAGTATATGTCTTTCTATGGTTGTTAGTTTGGTCATCAAGCCGAAGGGTCTGACCGCCCCTTTCCACCCTGCCTCCAAGAGCCCGCCCTCGCAAGGGCGCCCCAGAGCTGGTTCCGCGAAGAACCTGCCGAACCGCGGAGCAGCTTCCGCTTTCCGCCGGAACCCTCCTCATTCGTTTCCGTTGATTGCCTGCACTGCTCGTTCGATCCGTTTTCAGGCAACGTACTTGGTTTGCTCTGATTCGCCACTAACGGGGCCTTCATATCAGGCCCCTGGCTCTGGTGTAAGACGGCACCCGCTTGTCTCACAGCCGTTGATGCTTCGCTGTTCGGATCGAGCGAACTAGAGCGAGACGGCCCGGCCAGGGGGTCCCGAGCCTTGGCCGACGCCCACGTGGCGCTCCAAGGCACGTACCCAACCGCCCGCTTTTCCCGGGGCCTGACGTCACCTCCCAGCTTCTCCCACCGCATCCCGCTCGCGTTGGAAGACTCTCGTATTTCGGGACTGGGTGACCCTTCCAAAACCGGTCCTTCGGATAAGCGATCCGCTTCCTCTTCTTGGGTAAGCTCTGCCAACGAACTCGGCGCTCTGACTGGAGCGGGATCGTCTTGGCTTCCGCCGGCCAAGCCTGTGGCGGCAGGCACCTCTTCCGGGTTTCCCGGGGCCGGTTTCCACCGGGGGCAGTACCGGGCGGCTAAGAGAGAAGCGGGGGTGCCCACGAAGAGCATAAGAAGCGAAATGATGTACCAGCTTCCGAAGTACCACTGCACTGAGTTCACGAAGTCGCAGCAGAAGGCCCCGTGGATGTCGAGGTACGCCTCGTGTATCTGCAGCGTAAAAGGGGGCAGGTGGTTTACGGGGCCTTGCAACTGGTTACCATATGCGCGCGAGCAAGCCTGCAATGACTGGTCCTGACCCGCAGCGAAAATAGTCATTGAATGGCTTGCGAGTTGTTGCGCACGTTGTCGATGAATCTCGCGAAGAGCATTCAGCGTCTGGAAGAATTCGACTTGCGAAGGATAAGCGACTGAAAGCAACGGGTCTGAGACCTGGAGAAGGACCCTCACTTGCAGCAGCCCTGGGCCGTGGACGGTGAACTGAGCTTAAGTACTGATCTAAGGAAGCACTGAACTCAACGCCATCTCTAGTGCCTCAACTTTTAGGCCTTGACGACAAAGAGCAGAAAACACGCACATACGGGCAGTCCTCTTTGGGAGCAACGGACGCTCGCAAGCAATTTATTTCACGGAATGAATCAGTGACACATAGGAGAAACTAGAGTGGCGTGACTTACCCGTTGGCAGCTGGCCGTGCTCTCGCCGCTCTGGACGAGTTGCTTGAGGAGAGCGCCCAGCTCCGCGGAGCCGTTCCGTACAATCGCCTGCAATTATCATAGGTGCACGCTTAGTTTAATTTGGTGCATTCCAGGGACTTAAGAGGAAGTTTGCGAGTAGATTCAAGCCGAAGGTTGCCGAAACCCGTACATCAAACAGCGCAAGATTGTTCGCATCTGGACTGGGGGGTGCGGAGTTGCGCCCTAGGACATGCATCTGCGGACGCAGCGGAAACCGTTCAATCGATCAAATGCATTTGTAAGAAATGTAGGGCTGGCATTAAAAGTTTCTTATTCTTTGCAGCACCTATTTGACGTCACTCACGTCCAGTTTCTGCCCCGCCTGGAAGCCCTGTGTAACGTCAGGTGACCCCAGCCATGACGCCGTTAGTGTCGGAAAGTACGGCACGACCGCCCTGCTGACGTTGTGCCACATGGCCGTGACGTCGTTCGCCGCTGCGCACTCCCCGCCTAAGACCGCGGCCGCAACCGCGCCGGGGTTTATTACAACGGACTGGTTCGAGAGGGCCATCTGGAAGCACGGAGAACTCAACTTCAAACGCGCAGCTTTAGGAGAGACAACATTCATTTGGTTCGCTTTGCTTCTGAACGCAGCATTACTCACCATCTCTCGACTGGTTTTGATGCTCATATTGAAACCCTAGATCTCTTTGGTTGCCCTTTGACGTCTTTGACATCAATTCGCATTCGTTCGCTCAGACGTGAGTCATTGACATTTTGAGCTATCCGCCGTGTGGCCGAAAACTCGACGCGGACTTCGACAACAATATGGAGAACACTTTGACTCGAGACCTCAGCAGAAGGAAGGTCTTCCGAGCGCGAATAGTAGCTGAGTCGAGGCTCTCGATACCTGGTGATAATTTCCAGTATTTCTTCGCATCTCTCGGTCAGTGAGCGTCAGAAGAGGTTCAGATCGAGCGGCAAAGCTCACGTGGTAGTCGGCGGCTGTCGTGTCGAGCAGCTTGACCGTCAGGCTGGCGAACGAGCCGCAAGCGTCCGCAGCCAAAAGACCTACACCACATCCGGACGTCCGCATAAGCTGCTGACAATGCGTCGGACGCAAACCTCATCTTAACGAAGGACAAAGCAAGCGGTTACATCTGAGTTGACCAACGGATAGGAGACGACTCGCCTAAGAGGTGAGGCATCAGAGCGTTATTCTCATTATACAAGCACCACGTAGCTTGTCATCTTCTTATCTCACTTGCAGTTGGGTGAGTGCGAAATCACTGGCAGAAGCAGGAAGCCTTATACCGGATCTTTCTGAGTCCTGTTTTCATTGCTCGAAAGCTCAGCGAGATCGATTACAACAGTCCCGCTCCATGAACTAGTAGATGCAAATGAATGGTTGACCGGTGTTAGGAGTCTCACCGATTGGCGCTTCGAGCGCTCCGCTGATAAGCAACGCAAACGGACTGATAACCGTCACCGTAGCGGCGACGGTAATGGCCAGCCACGGCCTCGCGAAGACGATGCTCAGCGCGGCAAGCGCGGCCGCGGACGCGGGGACGACATACGCTATGACCAAGGTACCCTGGATGGAGAGCTGCCAGGCCGATAGTGCCCCGGTACCTGCAACCGGGCAGCGTCCAGGAGGAATTAGTTACTGGTATTTGTTCTGCACATTCTGCATGAAGCAGAAGCAGATGGCTCTTTCAAGTAGCAAAGGTCGGCATAATCAGAGCTTCTTGTCACAGATATAGATCACCCAGAAGAATGGTCATTTTGTTGGAAAGCTGTTGATGCTCCATTGCGAATCAAAAGTCCAGGAGAGTAAGAAATGAGACCAACGTGACCGTCCTCCAGATCAGACTTTGTTTTCATAAAGGGCTGCAACTGCGTACAAAGCTGATCTGCTCACATGCAGAGCTGTAATAGTTTCGCTTTTATGAGGCTTTCCCCGTCGGTCGCTCTTCTATAACAGCCGCTCTTCATGCGCTGCGAAGAGCAGCTTCCACCTACTAGCCAAAGCGCTTCGGAGATCTTGGAGGGTTCAGCTTCTGTCGAGTCACAGCGGGCTCACCGAAGATGACGTCAGCCGCTTGCGAGAGGGATCCCTTAAACAGGAGGTCGATGGAATTGGACAGGCAGTCGTCCGTCAGGCAGGACGCGCCATGGAACGTGAAGTACCTTCCGGCGGAACCTGTAACGCAGCGGAAACGGATCTGTACGTGTGGCCCAACGAAACGGGTGCACCTGAGGGCTCGCTTGTTTGCTGTCTTAGCGTCTGAATTTGTGGTTTCAGTAAGGGCTTTGTAAGTTACCACTTTTCAAGATCCTCTGTAACTGACATCTTGCTGCACAAATCACACCCCAACATAAGTTTATCGAGAGGTCTATGGCAGAAAAATGTGATGAGGGAGCTGTTTCGGAAGAGGCGTCTGAAAATTTTATCTGACATCAATGGCTTTCTGCGCATAGTCGCGCTTACCGTTCCGTTCTACTTCCGCCGTTCCATTCGCAACGTCCGCCACTCTCGCCAGATACGCCGCGGAATCGCGGGACGCGTTTGGACCGGCACCAATCCGGCCGACGATCTTCAGACCGGTTCGTATCGCAGCGGAATCGAACGGATCACCGGTCGAGGAATTGTCCCCAGTTGCGAGGTTGTAGACCCGGTTGAAGGCGTCCAGGATTCCGGTCGCGGCGGCTCCCGTTCCGTTCGCGGTCAGGGAGGCGTGCACGGACGCCGGCTCGAGCTGCGTCAGGATAACGTCACCGGAGCCGTAGAGAAGATCGTCCGCCTGCGGAAAGAGTTGAAGCGTTTTATTTAAGCAGAGCTATGCGTGACTCCGGCCAGGCTCCGCGAGTTGGCACTAAAGAGGGCGTATGACCGGGTTGGCCCAAAACGTCAGAACCCGTTTCGAGACCTGGGCTCGGAGACTGTCACCGCTAACTTACTTGAGCCTGTCGGCGACGCAAGTGCAGAGGGGCAAACAATACAGTCGCCGTTTGACGTCAGGGGGACCGATCCCCCGACGCCGTCGTCAAAAATAGGAACGAGTGGACTTTATCTAGTTTCCCTCGACGAGTTTGCCGCTGTTTCGATCGGGCTTTATAACACCCTTTCCTCTCGAAACCTTGCTTTCCTGTCAATCACATGGCCTCTTGGCTCCATCTTAAAAATGTGTTGAGTGCTTGTGACGTCACGCTGACGCACCCTGTCCAGGTACTGGTACACGGTCGTGAAGTTTTCGGCGCTCATGAGGCGCTGCGCGCCCACGCGGCGCGCGGCCGCGATTGCTGACGTCAGGTTCAGCGGCGCGGCGGGCGCCTGGAACGACAGCTGGCCCCACAACGCGCTGACGTCAGCGAGGTTTGGCAGGGCTTGGAGCGCGCCCGCCAGGCCGACAAGCTGCGGCTCACAAGAGAGGAAATGAGGGTCAGCCGATTTCTTGCTCAGGCGGCCGGTCTCGATATTTGTCATCCTCGAAGAAGTGGTGAAGAACTGAAAGCTTTCCTCTCATAGTGCAGGACCTCTCTGCAGGTCTGAAGCGAGGCTCGCAGCCGGCTGATTTTTGGTGTCAGTGATTTTGAGTCCTCGAAGAAATCAAAATTATATTCTTCAAATCCCGATGGTCGCAAGACTGACAAGCCCTGTCCAACAAGGTCCAAAGATTCAAAGGTTGCCGGCAGATAGCCAGCTTTCTGCGAAGGATCACGCAAGAAATCTCAGTAGGCGTCACTTTTCAACCTGCAGGAAAGTTTTCGCTGCCTATGGCTAGAGAAGACCTTAAAACGCTCGATCCTCACCAGATCGCTGAGTGCGGGTTTAGCAAACACCTCGATGTTTGCTTGATAACCCTGCAGGTCTCGCACGTGTTCTTCCAAACCCGGGAGTGGGCTAAGCCCCGCAGAAAGAGCCGCGATATTCGGTAGAGTGCCGGCCAACGCGGTTCCGGCCGCTGACCGGAACGCGGTGATGGCCGGAATGAGCTGAGGCCCCGTTTTGAGGAGGGTTGCGCTGTCGGTGGCTGAGGGGGAGAGGGCAATGCCCAGCGCCGTAAGCAGCGGGGCCTTGGCATCTAGAGAAGGATAATGGAGAGGGTTAAGAAAGGGAGTCTGGTTCGAAAGATAGGAACGGAAAGGGTAAGTCAAGTAGCCGTGTTAATGTACGAAGGCCGGTTGAGAACTCACAGTGCCTTAGCTTTGCCCGGATCAAGGCTGAAAGGAATGAGGCAATCAATGTTGGTCCCTTGAATGAAATGTTCGGGGAGCCCGAGACTCTTTTCTTCTTCGACGATTATGCAAAATGTATTACAACCACAGTCGTTTCCGTTGTGATAATTGATACAAAAAGCTCACTGGTCTCCAAGCACTGAAATTCCCGCAGGCACAGGTGGATATTCTTTGATCGATTGCTTTTACAAAAATGGAAGCCGGTGACTTAGTTAGCTAGCGACACGACTGTGAACGTGCACGAGAGGGTTCGCCAACTTCAAGGAGTCTCAATCACCTGCAACGCTTCGCAGCACTCTCTGCAGCTGCAGTGCTGACGTGTTCAGCTGCGCGAGCGCGGGCGCGGCCGCGTCGACCTGCGCGGCCTGGAGCTCGAGGCTCCACGTCTTGTGCGCGAGCGCGCTCGCTCGATTGGTGAGGTTGGCCGGACTCAGATCACCGGTAAGCTGTAAGGAGACACAATAGCATATCGGGCAAGCTGACATATGGCAGCGTCCACAAAGTTTATATAATTGTTACCTAAGGATGGGCAGCCGTCTTATCGCACGGTCGAAACATACATGGAGCAGAACGCTGGCAACCCGTTGCAAAGCTTGGGGCAAACTGCGAGGTCAGTACGTCGACCGACTTCGAAAACTCTGACAGAGCACCTTCAAATTTGTTCAAAGAAAGTACAAGCGGAAAGCTGATGTGACGAGTTCGAACCTGTTCGCCGTCGGAGTTTGAGAAGCATTTGAACCCTGTATCATGGCTGCAAGCATCACCTGATTCGTGAGATTGACCGCGCGCGCGAAGGGGCCCTGGTATTGTCCGATGATGGGGAGCACCATTTGGACGCTCAAGAGGAAGCTTTGCAGAGAGTTCTGCAAGAAACGTGCAACTATGAGCGCGAGTAAGATTTGCAAGCGGACTCAAGAAAGCTAAGGGTGCGATAACCTGGTCTCGAACGCTTATACCGGCTTTCAATCTGACACGCACAGGATTGCTTATGAGAAGTCACAGATTCACGTACTTCAGAGGTTCAAAGCAGGAAAGAGCGCCTTGAAGGATCGGTAATACTGTCACCTACACAATCCCGCACCATTGAAATCTAAGCGAGCTAGCTCCTCATTCAAGGGTGCGCAAAAGGGATTTTAAGTGCATTTGCGAAAGGCGTTTTGGAATGCAAGCTTGCTTACCTCGATCACAAAGAAGTTTGGCAGAATCAGCGGGTGCGTCCGAATCCCTTGGAGCCGTTTGCGGACGCCGTCCAGGTTCTGCGGCCAAGGACGAAAAACGCGGGCGGTTCTTAGGTAAAGCTGTGATATTGTTCCGGTGAGAGGCGATATGGATCTAAAGACGCCACCTTCGACACCTACTCACGTTTGCGCGGCTACTTCGACCAAACTTGAGGCCCGTCAACCTCATCCCGACAATCTTGGGTTTGAATATACCAAAAAGCGGTTTACGCGGCTCACGTGCGGCAGGTGCACGAGCGTGGTGTTGACGACGTCCAGCTGCTCGCGGATGTTTCGGACGCACGGACCGTACGTGTCGATGGCGCCGTTCAGCTGGGTCAGGTTGCCGGACAGGGCGCTGCACGTGGACGACGACGTCATCATCTCTCCGTAAACCGCGAGGATAGGAAAGCTCAACGTCAAAAGACGGCATCAAAAATCCTCCTTGTCTAAAGTGTGTAAGCAAGAGCCGAACCACAATTTCTGTGGATCTTTTCTGTGGCTGAAGACTTTCGGACCGTTCGCATTACTTTGCGTGAACGGTATGAGTTGAGTGCAAGGGAATGAACTGGATTCCAACCGCTGATAAGCCCGCCTTTACCTGTCCTCTCTGCTTCTCCATGTGTCACAATGCTTCCATCTTTGTCAATCTCTTTTTCGCACACTCCTACGATGGTCTATGTTTCCCTCGAACCTTTGAATCACAATCTCCCCACTTGAGTGTTTCCAAAACGGAGTTCACCGTCTCCATAGAACCATGTATTATCTTCGTGCTTTTCGAGGTTACGAAGGGCCGATCCTTTTGCCCGCAATCGGATGAAGCACAACTATTCTCACCTGAGTGTTCCAAGAGCAGCGTTCACGGTCTCCGGAGACTTAAGAATCATCTGCATGCTTTCGTACAGTCCGGAGAGGCCGCCGGACGCCAATGCGCCGTCCAAAAGCGTCAGGTTCGCTGCGAGCTGAGAGAAGCTGGGGAGCGCCACGAGCGCGCCGTCGAGCGCGCGCATGCTGGGCGGGAGCGCGCGCAGGTCGGGCAAACTGCGCAAAGAGGGTTTAGGGTTATGAATCAAAGCACGATCGGATGAGGGAAGTATCGAGCGCGCGCATGCCGGCCGCAAGCGCGCGCAAGTCGGACAAGATGCTCAAAAAGAGGTCCTGTGGAGCGCGACAAGCCAGCGTCGATGCATGGCTGCCCTCGAACTCGCAGTAAGAGACCGGTTCGGGTATATTCGAACCTGCACCAGGCCAGAAGACGACTGCTCTCTTTCGGGACGGGCAGGAAGGCTGCTCTATTCGGCCTGCTTGTGGGCCACGTGTCCAACGAGCCGTCGGTGTTGCTTGTCACAGGAAACCGAGTTCAGGGGGTGGGCGACTAATGAGTTGGTCACGCGGCGATCTTGAAAGAGCAACCCAAGATTGACATGGGCACAGATGACATTGCAGACTCTCTCGTTTGGCGTTGACGGCTAGACACTTGCCGTTTTCCTTCTTTTCTAACGTCACTTGAGGTGCATACGTACAGGCTCAGTCGTAGCCCTCGAAGTTGTTGAACCATTTATCGAACGTTCGAGAGGGTAGAAATGCACAAATTCACGAACTATAACAGGGTTTTGCGTCTCACTTCGAGAATTCTTGCAGGATTGCATCCAGATCCGCGGAGAAGGCGGTAACGTTCAGCAGAGCGCTCCGAAAGTCCTTCAGCGTCGCCAGCAGTCCTTGGCGGTATTGAGCGCCGCCAGGACAAAGCACACAGCCCTGTACGGAAGGAAAGAGTTGTCTCTGAAAATGAGACAGGATCGGACTCTCACCCCGGAGCTCTCTTTCGACTGTTTGTAACGGCTTCTGTTCTACCGTTGCATACATTGGTCGGCAACCAGAAGAGCACGATCAACCAGTTTCGGAAAGATGTCCGTCCCAAAAAAGCTACAGACATGCAAAGGGTCTGAAAATAGCGTCAGCTCTTTTCGAAAGGCAAGGACAGCTGTATGGTGACAGTTTCAAACATTGCAGATGACCCTGGGCTTTTACCTTGAGAGGCAGGCCCTCTAGCTGGCTGATCAGCCCTCCAGTACCGTCACCATCTACGAAGCCCTCGGCCGTTGACAGGGCCTCCAGGAACGTCGATTGGAAGGAGCCAAACTTATCTTGACCGTTGATGAGAAGAGTCATCGAACGCTTCAAAGCGGACAACTGCGTCTCCACGTCAAGAATCGCCGCTTCGATGCCCGTCGAAGAGAGGGCCTGCGGAGTATCGGATAAGGCGTTTAAGCGGAGCAGGCTTACAAGGTGCTGGTTTCACAGAGGGTGCAGCATGACATTGGATCAGACCCTTTGTGGCCCAGTCGACCGCAAGCTTGATCTACTTGTTAGAACGTGAGTGGCCATCTCTGTGCGTAAAGCGATGCTTATTTTGCGACCCTGAAAGACCTTACGAAGAGCCACAGATTTGCAGGAGCGGATGAGACCTAGATTGCTTGCTATTTCTCTTTCTAGGTATCACCATCCCTGGCGGGGCATAATAATCAAAGCTCCGGATAGCAAGAGCTTCGACTCAAAGAATCTTTGATTCTGTGCACAGTGTCTATTTTAGCACTGTTTGTTTCTGCGTCGTACCTGTAACGTCGTGCTGACAGGTGGCAGCACCCGACTCAGGTTCGCAGTCTCCTCTTGCGCGGACTCTATTTGCAGTCCCACAGTCAGAGAATCTGAAAACAACCCACAAAGTGTTTCCTCATTTATGCAACGTGTCCAGTAAAAGACACGTTCTTGTTGTTTGACGGGCTTGCTTAGTTCTCGGCTTCTTCCGCTCGTGTATCTTTCGTCACCCCAAGGGTATTGTAGCGGAATAGAAGGGATGAGCATGTCTTGGATTCTTGGCCACTCCAAAAACACCACAGAATATCAGATTCGAGCAGAGTTTCACTAAGAGTCTCTATCGATTTTGGCGCCCTTTTGCCTTCTGATTTATCCTGATTCGTAATAGAATCACGAATCCTGAACACTAAGCCTCAGAATCTTCCGGCAGAAAAGCCCCCCAAGCTCTACCGTATACCACAAATTGAAGGACTAAAGATTCGCCTCGTACCTGGTATCTGATCATACGTTGATTGCACGGCGCCCAGGACCAGTTCCAGAGTTCCGTTGCTCGGCAGCTGAAGCTGGCCGTTCTCCGCACACTCCACGTCGCGCCTCAGCGCGTCCAAGTCCACCGTCGACACGATGCTCTCGTTCACCTGTAAGGGTTGAAAGCATCTTTGATCTGCTTCAGTTTTCCGGCACAATGACTTGCTTCGTGGAAAATTTCCCCCCCAGAAAGAAATAAGGTTTTCCCCGTCGTTTCTCTGTCGAAATGCAATGCGTCACCGCGTTAGACAGGGAACATCTACTTCAAGAACATCTTGGTGTCGAGTGGTGCCCCTACTGACCACAGTCAAGAGTCGATCAGACAAGCGTACCGTCCTCAGCAGTATGATTCAAAGTACCGTTAGGAGAGACCCTGCCAAAACCTCTTTTCGTTCTGTTGTTAAGACGGACATCACCTGCCGAAATTCCATTCACTTGCAAAAAAGACGAACTTTTGGTTACCTGCCGCAACGTGTCCGAGATGCTGGCGCCCGACGCGGTCAGGAACGTTTGCAGCGGAGGGTTCAGCCCGCGCACGACGCCCGCGAGATTCGTGGGCGAGCGCACCAGCGCGCGCTGCGCGGCCGGCGCGAGCGCGAGCGCGCCCTTGAAGACGCCGACGAAGATGAAGCAACTGCGGGGAAGGAACATGCACAATGACCTTCCTAAACGTTCTCGGATGCGCTGTTTTCGGGTCAAACCACTTTGATTGAAAGAGAAGTAAGAACAAAGAGGAAGAAGGTGTGAAAAGTTTCTTTGTGAGGTGCAGGAGCGACTTGCGACCCTTTAGACTCTGACTGAACAGGATCGAAGCGTTTTCCCTTTCGTCCCTGAACATTTCAGATATCGAAACATTCTGTGGACAGACTTGGGTTCGTGCGACCGACAGAAAAGAGCTTTCTTATACTTGTACCAGTCAATCCGCAAAACCGGGGCCGTTCTTCTCTGGTACACTTGAGCAAAGTTTACAACGTGGGCACGGCATTTTCCCAAAACCTTGCACAATCTTGAAATCGGACACCTCACACTGTTGCGAGGGCGTAGAAACCGAGCAAGATGCTTGCCCAGCGCCGCCGGCGCGCCTCCCTTCCGACGTCGAACTTGGGCAGGTCAGGTATAGAGCTGCCGTGCTTCGACGACTGCCGGCGCGAAGCCGGCCGCGACCACGCGACGGCCCGCCGGAAGAACGACAGGCTCCGCTGCGATTTGCGGAGGCAGAGCCAAACTAGGGTGGCGAAGAGAACGAGAGTGGAGAGGAGCGCGAGGGCGAGGCCGATGTAGGAGTAGATGGCGAGGGCCTGCGGAAGACAACGAGAACCCTTATGAACAGACAAGGTTACTTCGCCCCTTCACTTCTTCTTTGAGCGTGGACTCGGTCAAAATTCTGCAGATGGGTTTCAAGCTGACTCTTTATTCCTTCGGAAATCTACGGGCACCCAAGAGAGAATTCTCGGTCCTGTCCTGTGCAGCCTTTCGCAATGATGCACCCACGTGCACAGATCTTAGAAACGTAGCGTGTTTAAAGCGTCAGGAACAGCTAACGAATCGTTGGCCGGATCGTTGTTCGTACACGGATTCACAATCGGCACAAACTAGTTGCATTCACAGGCAAAAGGGAAGGAGCGTAGATGAATCAAGGATTGTCTTGCTCGTCCAGAAAGCGGGTCAGGTGTTCTCCATGAGCTTTTTGAGTGGCCCAGAAGTGATTCGGCGCGCAATTTGCTGATTACCTTTGTTGAAGCCGCGTCTAGCCATTCGCGAGACGTCACGTCACTTTCGACCATCGGAGCAGTCTCTTCCAAGCACAAATGCTCTACCCAGACTAACTTCTAGGAGCACAACCTTTCATCGTTTCTCAAAATATATTCTGGTACGATACTTCCATTCACGTTGTCAAGTTTCAACATCCTCACCTGGACATAGTTCCGGGGGTCCGAGGCCTTCTCCGGACGCCCCCCCAGCCGTCCGGTGAACGCCCTGACCGCGAGCGTTGTCACGTCAGCAATCTCGAGCTCCCCCAAACGGCACTGGGTCTCGTTCCGCAGACAGTTGAAAAAGTCGTACGCGGCCAGGTTGTTGGAAACGCCTTTCAGCCCCGCGTTGAGGCGGGGGAGGGCGCTCAACTGCGAAGATGGAAGAGTGACGTCAGGAAAACGTCACGGATGACGAGCACGCCCCTCAGCCACTATCTCGAAAGGGAGAAGGGCGCTCGTTTGCAGTCGCCAACTCAAGACGCATCTACTCTTGCTGACGCCAATGCGAGTAGAACCTGTTGCTGATTGTTCCCTGAAAGCGGTGTGCCCTGCAAAGTGCACCTGAGAGCGACGTTTGGTGAAAGCTGACGTGATGATAATTTACAGAGCTTCTTTATAAAAACCCTCTAACACCTTATGTGAGACGGGGCAGCACGAAAAATAAAATCGTTGATGTTAGCGTGCAAGACGAGCAATGTTATGAGCAATTCAGGTGGCGCTGAGCCGGAGGAGAGCGGATTGGCAAGTCTCGTCTCGCTTAACGGTCGAACAAGGCTACGAGAAGCATTTGAGCACTGGAGGCCTTAGTCTGGGGGTTTGCACATGAACGCATCGTAAGCTTTAGATTCGAGGACTTGGTTGGCGAGCCTTGTATCTTTCTCCTGGAATCTCAGGGCTAATAAGCAACCCAAACTATAGCGTATGAGCATCACAGACCGCTGCAACGCATGCCAGAGGGGGCTATTAAAGAGCCAATATGTGATGCCTGCTTGCAGTTGGTGCTCTTCGGGTTTGGTACCGCGAAGTTGGTTGCGAAGAGCTCTCCTTAGACGGATTACTTTGGTTGGCAAGCCATTGAAAAGGGTCGACTCAGGAAGGACCCCCTGTTCAATTCACATGAGGGCTTGCCCTGTAAGCTACCCTGATATTTTGATGGTCACATGTCCAGGACGTGGTTTGATTGGATTGAGGAAGAATGGATGCCCCGCAGGACTCGGGGCTGGCTTTGGCGGAAAAGGTTCCGAGAGGATTTTCGATCCGCAAACATCTGGAAAACTGCGCAACCAGCGCAGACTCCTTCCAAAGTCCCTAGTGCAAAGTCCCTTCGGCTTGGCTTTGACCCTGGCATCAAAGAGGAAGTGTCTATTTGAGGTACGTAAAATCCTAGAAAAAAGGATCCGAATTGTTCTGCACACACATTGATCTGCGGGTACTCAGGCTCTCATGTAATGGGGGCAGTGCCCCTAACTTACGTCGTTCTTATGACAAACCCTTCCCTTCATGCTCTCAAATCAGAAAGACCTCAGCCTCCTTGAGTTTTTATGGCAGTGTTTTCTCTCTCGTCTCTCTCGTCTTACCAAGGCTGCCACGCGGGCCACTAGGATCTTTACAGATGCCTTCTAAGTAGTAAGTTTGAATGATCCAATGAAGGGTTTCTTTCTTTCCTCACCCCTCTTGCTGCTGCTTTTCGCTGATACAGGTGCCCTGATGCAGAATCATTTCTCTTGGCAGCTGGTGCTGCTTGATTGGTTGTTAATCCAAATCGTGGTTGCTTATACCACTACATTTTGTCAACCATTTGCGCAGGACAGAAAAGCTAAAGTTGAAAGAATTCTTCTGAAACCCTTTGATAAACAGCTAGTGTCGGCACCTACCTGCACACCCCTGCAATGTGACGCTATAGAGCAAAAATCACAAGGCTTTCTAGTATCTAAACTGGACTTTGCTGACTTGAAGAACGGAGGGAAGGTGAGCACACTTACAAAGTTGCTGAACGCCCCTCCTCTGGTGCACCTCTGGTACTCCATCTTTGCGTGCGCTTATTGACAATGTGGCGCAAGGAGCTGGATTAAGAAAAACCCTTCTTTTGCAGCCAGCTCAATAACGCCTAGAGCCAGCCAGAAGGGCTTTCCAGCTGCCTATTGCTGCACCACTATTTTCCATCAATCGAAGGTCTGCGACGAACTTGAAACACATTGCAGCTCCCGTCATCAGCAACAGGTGGTGACAGCTCAGGTCAATCAGACGGCCTCCTTGGTAGACAAGAAAAGGAGGCACCTGCCCAAGCATGTTAATTTTGATTAGCTAGTAGCAGACCACTTTGATTAGCTTGCGCTTTGATTGCGGATGGCTGATGCAGCCGAGGGAGGTGCTAAATGAGGTCATAACAGTTGCCTACCTGTACGCTTATTCAAACTCAAGATTACGAAGGTCCTGCTAGTGAGGTCCCTGACTCCTATGGATAGCAACGAATTCAGGTACCTAGTACCTGACGGTTGAAGCTTCAAAGTTTAAGGAGAAATAAGAAGAGAGGAAATAAGAACTAGGTATTGGTGAAGGCTCTACCTACCCCAATCCAAGCTGCGCGTGGATGCAAACATCGGCGGTGAAGCTGGCCAATAGGAAGCCGCCTCTCCAGATTCTCACATGCAGGTCCCAAATTGGGTGTACTGTTCATGAGTCTTTTCAATACCTACCTGCAATCAATAGGTAGCGTACTTTGGCATGTACGTCCTAAACACTGACAGCAAAATTCGAGAGACTGCCTTTGCAACCTTCAATCCACAGCAGGTTTACCCTTGCGATTGCGCGCGCAGTCATACATGTAGTCAATCCGGCCGTCCGTCCGTCCATAGCCAGACCGAATGGATTTGAGACCGTAGATGATCGTAGATCGTTGACATCACGTCAATTTGGGGTCCACTCCAGCCGGAGACCTCTGACTCTGACTCTGAGAGCTTTGAACTTGAAGCGCATAGAAAGGCGCGAAGCAATTTTGTAGTGGCCCTTGAAGGCGGCTTCCCAATGCTGTGTTCTCAAAGCTGGTCGATCATCGGATCTCTCCGCATTTGTGATGAAGGGGCAGATCCCGCTGTTAGTCTGATTCGAGACTTGTATGCTACTGATCTACTGAGTAGAGGCGTATGTGCGCTGCACTTTAGGTGATATAGGTCCTCCAACGAGTTTGCGCAGCAACGAGCAAAGCAGATGGTGCATGAATGGTGCCTCGTCAAGGCGACTCATACTCATGCTCAAATTTGAGTCCCTACCGTAGCACACCAGTGACTTCCTGCTAGGACTCACCCCCTGCCACATCTCAAAATCATCGAGTCTCGCACTCTCTTCGCCAATGGGCTGCTCGATCAAATCAGAGCCATCCGAATCAGAGCCGTCCGGAGTGGGTCCGGCGCCACCACGTCCGGTACTGCCTGAGGGACTTGCTAAGCTGCCGCTGCGGCAGCGACTCAGAGCAATTCAGCAGGTGGGGTCAGCTGTATGCAAAGAAAACTTGCAGTCCCTGCTTTTGCCCATTAGGTGTAATAGGGCCTTTACAGGTGATCGCGCCGTTTGTGCAGCATGCTCAAGAAAGGAAGGGGCACCCTTGAAATTTGGAACGTTTTTTGGGGTGGTGTTTGCTGAAACAAACTGATCTGCACCACCGTTCGGACTGTCCCAACGAGTGTGTGCAATGCAATGCTGTAACAGGGCTGCTGACTCCAGTAGCTTGCTAACAGGTGTATCCGCAGAACAGAAGCGCCTGCTGATCGTGATCTGGACCCGTGTGAGACTTGTTAGGCAGCTGAATGCTGCTGGGTTAGTGGTGTTCATCAACTTCAGAACGCTTTCTGTGGAAGCCACTTGGTACAGATTGGAAGGGAATGCCGTTATGCCGTTGACCATTGGGGTTAGTCGACCTCGACAGGGGAAGGCGACCACAGATTCATCACGAATGAAGCAACGCACTCGGCTTCTGGGGTAATCCGAGATGCTTTTATTGAATAACCCGTTTGATAGTCTTTTCTTCAGTACTCGAAACCGTCTGTCTGCAGTTCATAAGCTCGTTCGAGTACAACTACACCCCAGAGACCTACTTCAACGTTCGCAAGAAGCGGCCTCTGAAGCGCATTGTTGACACCGGGCGGCAGGTAGGGGCGCTCTTCCCTGTGTTAAACGTTCGACATGCCCCAGAAGTCGACACTTCTGTCAGTCGCTTCAGGATGACAATACTGAGCACTGGTGCCTTGTTCTTCTTCTTCAGTTCACGCGCTCTCTACATCATCTTAGAAGCCGGTGTCAAAGTTCACAAGCTTGAGTTCTGGGAAGGCTGCCAGATTGCCTGACTCCCTCGCCCTGAATGCCAGGAGTTTTGGAGATGTTCTGGGGTTTCCAATCAAATCTGTAGAATTGGCAAACTGGTCTGCAAATGGCTCGTTGGCTGCTAGCCTTATTGCTCTGCCCAGTCATGCCAAAGCTTGATGGAAAAGGTGAAGAAAAAGGTAGCTTTTGTCTGATCAGCTGCCGTTTCCTCACAGATCATACGCGATGCTCTGCCAATCAAGTGCGTAGAGGCCGTCTTTCTGGCACTTCTTTTGACGGTAAGTCGACGCTCAGCAAAGTCCTTCTTGACTATCCAACCAATCAGGTGAAACTTTTGACGAGTCAAATGTAAGGGTGCCGATGAGACGGCCAGAAAAACTCCTTTCCACTGAGTTTGCACCAGTTGAGGATGTGAAGGACTGATCGTTGAAAGCGTATCTGTCCAAGGATTTCACCATACTTTTGCCTTGCCAAATGGGTCTATTTCTTGCTTGCAGTCGGGCTTGGACATCGATCGGATTCCGCTTGGCTTCAAGACGGCAGTTGATGGCCAGGTGAGAGCTTCTTCCTGACCGGGTCATCACACGCTTTCTGTGGAGTCCTATCTTCACGACTTCAATCGAAGCTCAAGCCTCGCCTCGGCTTTGTAGCTCTTCATATCCTTTCGGTCCAATCAGCTGAGAGACATAAAGCCTGACCACTTCGTTGCTCTTTGCTATGATAAAGCTTCTTGAACGCCGAAACGATAAGACTCGCAAACCTCTTTCGTGCCTTCGTTTTTCCCCGGCCGCATCCAATCTTGGTCAGTGTCAAAGAGGTCTCTTCGCGCTTCCGCCTTTCTGCTGAACAGCTTTGTTCTTCATGGCCGCTCCGTTCAGGAGTTCCGCCACATCGTTCTCGTAGTGCGGAACGGAGGCCGGTACGGCGCCCTGGGCATCAGCCGGCGGAAGGAGCTCATGTTCAAGGACCTCGTCTTTAACAGGTGGGCGTTTGTGGCGGTTACGTCAGGAAAATAAGCATCGAAGTCTCTCAGCTGCTGACGTCAGCATCAGAGTCCAATTTCGTGGCTGCTCACGTCAGCTTTGACAATCCGGATCTGACGCTACCTTTTTTCTGACGGGGATCCCGTTGCAGCCTGTAGGTGGCTCCCTCGGTGGCCCTCGCCGGGGATAACTTTTTGTGTCGTCGCTCGAAAATAATAAAAAATGTTCTGATTACAAACATGGTATGCTGGCGGTTCAGCTTGTTTGATGCCATCGTTTTGGACATCCAATCCTCATCTGAGAACCCGTCTCCTTTCCTTTTTCCGCCTACTCATGACAAACGCCTCACTCGAAATCCGCTTTGCTGTTCGAGCTTGCGTTCGGGAGCTCTCACCATTTTTCTCGTCTTTCTCCTACGAGCAAATAGAAATGGCTCTTCGAAATCTGCTCTGACGTCGTCATTCCTCCCACTTCTGCTTTTTGGCCTCGTCCTTGTGCTCTACACGCCACCGCTTAGGACACCACTTTCCTTTGGAACCGTTCCAGTGATTCGAGACATGTGAAGCAACACAAAATCCCGTGCAGTTTGGCCGCCATTGTCACAGACTTCAAGCAGTCGTACGAGCGGTGGTGGCACACCGTGCTCAAGATACGGGTCGGCTTGCCGGTGAGCCTCCCCTCCGATTTACCCGGTCGGTTTACACGTTGTACTGTCAGACAGACATCTGAAGACGCGCGCGCCTCGCTCCCGTCTAAACGCACTCAGCGCACACCTCATAAAAGGAGAAGCACAGCCTTGCAGAATGTCGCACAGACGTGAACACAAACGCGTGCCTGTAAAGTTCTCTCCTGGCGTTTCTTCATTCTCCTTTTTGTCCCCCTTCGCGAAGGTGCAAGCACGTTTTGCTAAAAGTTGACTTCATCTCAAGTTCCCGCCGCCCATGACAAGAGCATGACGTCATCTGCGCAGGTAGAGCATGACGCGCACTCGCAGAATCAGATATGCTGGCGGTACCTCCTTCTCAAGGTGTCAAGTCGACCGTGGGAAGAGGTGAGCTCACACGTGGCATTTGCTCCGTTGAAAAGAGACGCTTCGCCAGCTCAGAACAGCGCAATGCGATAATCCGCTGATGATTCGACGGAACGGAAGCGGTTCGAGTCCGGTAACTCGACGCGCCTGGTCTGTGAGCATTTAGTCGCTTGGCTAAGATCCACCGCTTGAAAGGTCTAGAGGTAAAAGCAAATCGTTTTGACGTCCAAAACTTGAGTTTAGGTTTTCAGAGCCGACTTATCATAGTCGCGAAATGTGGATTACTGGTGCCCATTCTGTAGTTAGGCGCACCGCATACGAGTGAGGCCCGATGAAACCGCACGCCCCTGGCTAGGCTTCCGAGGAGTCTTGGCCAGCTCTCTGACGCGTGTCCATCTGTCGTCCGTCCAGTGCTGCACCGCGTTGGATTTGCACGCCTCCTGCGCGTCAAAACTGTGGGACAAGTGAGCCGCCCTCAACCTAGTTATTGGCGCCATTATTGAACTCACTTATCGGGTTGCCAAAAGAGGACCTCTTCCACGCCCTATTCTCTTCCTTTCAAGTGTTCGTGCCCAAAGGACACGTGGATAAGACTAGGAGATGAATCGTAGCCGGAATCGCGTTTGTCAAACACGACGGAATGTACGTACCTTCCAAGAACCTTGAAAGGATGTGTTTGTATGTTCATTCGAAGAAGCTTATTGCGTTACTTGCTCCGTTCTTTTGCCAACAGACCCGAGGAGCAGGGGATAAGAAAAGATTGTTCAGGTCCGCAAATTTCTGCTGATCGAAGGTTCTGACGCGCTTTTTGATCCATGTTCTTTCAATCCACTTCTCAAGACGTTTATCTCCGTCGTTACTTTCAGGTGGGTTGTAAGTCAGGCCAAGCTCGCGCAGAGCAGCAAGCAAGAAACGTCCGCCTCTAGTTTGAGAAAAGGCCGGGTGTCACCGGACAGTGAACCGGACGGCAGCGGCTGTCCGGTGTTGTCTGACGGTCCGGTGATTCGTTCCGCCGGAAAGGGGTCCGTTTTGCGGCGCTCCAAGCGGTCATCTCATAGCGGAAAGCGGAAGGGCTGCGGCCTGCTTTCCGTCAAGTCGGCGCCGGACCTGGTGGAGATCGGCTTGGCAGCGGAATCCGCAACGGAATCGAGATCCGACAAGGCAGCGGAATCTTTGACGGAAACGCGTTCACAAACTGGTGATGCAAAAAGAGGAGAATTACCAGGGGTGGAAATGGATAGCAGCAAAATGATCTTGATATCAGAGTCGAGAACCGGGTCCCCCATCAAGGACGAAGAAAGCAGTGAGAGCGATTCGGACGCTCCGTCCTCGCCCTCTGCTAAGGTTTCTTACTAACTTGCAAGCTATTTATCTTGTACAATATTCAGATCGGAAGAACACTTCGTCTCTCTTCGTCTGCTAAAAAGTCGCCGGCATTACATAGGACTTCCTTGATCCTCAGCCATTTACGCATTCGAGTCGACGTTAGTGCGTGGTCACGGATACTAGTGAAAGAGCAACGCATTGTATTGAATCCTTTGTAATGGTCAAGGTTTTAAGCAGGTCGCGCCGACGGTAGAGATGACGACGGCTAGCTATACACAGACACTGATCAGACAGTGTGGATAAGTCAAAGCTCCTTCGGTCTCAAGCAGATTGAGCCTCTGATTGGTTGCATAAACATAGATCTCAGCTGGCCATATTTGATCTTTTGATCATGCTCGATGGCTCACACCAAAGGGGGAAATCGGGCACAAGGGCGATTCCTTGACATCTCAGGACTCAGGCATCAAAGACAACAGAAGGCATGCAGCGTTCAGATTTTCGATTCGAGCGGCCCAAAGTCCATAAGTCACATAATGATCGTAGTGTATACGTCAGTAGTGTACGTGAATGTTTCTCCATGTTCCGCACCACGGATTCCGAAAAACGGAAACGGAGCAACGGAAGGGAACATGTGCCAATCATTGTGCCGAAAGAGTGCCAAAATCTGCGCGAAGGTTTCGGATAGGTATGCGCGAGCGCCCCGATAGCAGGGTTTCCCACGCACTTTTGTCCCGGCCGGCTAGCTGCCGGCACCCCCCCGGTTCTGTCGGCTGAGTGGTCGGCAATTGGCTCTACCGGCCGGCTGAGCGCACAAACTGCCTGCCTTTTCTGCCGGCCAACCAGGCGGCGGGGTGCCTTCAGCACCGGCCGGGGTTCTGTCTCGGCCGGCCAGGTCCAGGTTCTCTTGCCGGCTGTGGGAAACCCTGCCCGATAGCTGAAAGTGGCGACAATGCAATGAAGCAAGTACGACGAAGTAGACTCCTTTTGTTAGTGTCTCAGGCTCGAAAAAAGTGTGAAAACATCTTAGGGAAGGGTCATTTTGAAGCGGTACCCCCCGTAGTAACTGTTATGGGGGGGGCAGCTGGGACTAGCGGCCAGCAAACGAAGTCGGATGGGGGGGGGACTCAAGGACCTTGTGGCTGCGAAGCAGCTACAAGGGGGGGGGACTTGGTCTTGCCTCGGCAGCATCGCAGCCGATGGGGGGGGCACCCTGGACAACTCAACGTCGACAGCGCTGAAGCGGGGTGGACTTGGAGCGGGCCGCCCGCGGCCGGGCCGAGCGCCCGGCCGCCCGCCGCCGGCCGAGCTGTTGAACTTATAATCATAAGACCCGCAAGCAGCGAAACACGTTCAACCTAGTTGCTGTCCTCCCAAGTCAAGAGTTTGTTTCCTCCGCAAAGTATCTGAAAATTGAAATGAATAGAAGTATGCCCGGCTATACCGGATCCGGAAGCAGCTATGTCTGGCAGTGTTCAATACTGGTTGTCTTCTCTATCCCGAAGAATTCAGTCGAATGCTTGACACCATGGTTATATTGAGCACTCCCCTGCATGCTCTGCGAATCAAATATGAAGATATATATGAACACACTGCAGCCATTGAAGAGCACTGTGATGCAGGCAGCAGCAGTGGTTCTGTTGCACAGCTTGCAGCTGCCAAATACTGGTATGCAAAGTGTGTCTCTTGAGGTTGATAGCTTTGAAGTTTGAACGCTTGCACGTGTCGTGCCGTGATGAGTCGAGGCTGTGCCGTGTCGGGTGCGCTCAACATATGCAGTCGAAGCGAAAAAGCATGATGCCTATGTAATAAGCTACGTGAAATAGCAAAATCTTATCTCACTTTTGTGAGT